GCGCGGCAGATGTTAAATATAAACTGCTGCTGTTGCAATATCAGACAACATTCTGGGCCTAACGTCGCGACAATCACGAGGATTCTCATCAGATCTATTTTTTTCTCTTGGACAGTTCAACCTATTCTTGATTGTCTCCATCAACATGCAAGGTGATGTCCCGTCCCCCACCCCCAAAGAAGAAACAAAACAACACAACATCTTGTAGTGATCATTGAAACCCCTTAACCCGAAATGGATTGTGTTGTAGAGCTATAGACAGTTTATTATGCTTAATGGATTATTATTTCCAATGGATCTAGACTGTCACAGGGACTTGAACTCTTCATCACTAATCAGTCGTCTTTCCTTGGTAAACTGCCACGTCCTTCTTTCTTCTGTTCGATTAGCCTCCCCTTTAACACCTCCCATGATCTTGAAAATTCTAAGGATGACGCGAGGAACAGCCGTATCCCCTTCGTTTTTGTGACCTTTCGATGCTGCTCCGAAAACCCGTGAGGCTCTTTGGTTCATACTTTTCCCCATTTTTTAGGATCACGCCGTCCTCAACAGCGACACATCTGCATCGCCTTATGCTTTCGTCGTCTGCTTCGATGTGCTCGACGATTGTGTTTCAAAGACGAAACGTTGGTCACAGGGCATTTTAGATAATCGGCCTTCATCACAGTCAAATTAAATATCATCAACCTGTAACCTGTAATATCCATTTGGCAGCCCCAATATCACTATAGCACTCCCCTTTTGATCTATTAAAACATTGTCTCCAAAATTAAAGGTATCCATGTTGCTGGTAAACACCTGCTCACGTGCACCGGCGAGAAAAGTCCCACTTCCGGTTAACAATTGGCATATCTAATTTGCAAACTTATGCTATTGGTATAGGACATGCATGTATTTATGTCATAAGCTTTTGTCATGGATAAATGATATAGTTAGATAAAGAATACTTATACATATTCGCGGTGGAATCGAATGTTCCGGTTGAGGGGTCGTGGATTTCTGTTCCATTGGCTACCGATTTTTATTTTACCGATAAAAGTATTAAATTTTATTAAAACAGTTTCCACAGTTTATTTACTAATCGGATCTGAAGAGTTTATTACGATTTAGCCATTAATAGAATTTAAAGATCACGTGACCCAAAATTCCTTTACATTTATCAACTAATTCTAAGTTCCAAGGATCGCGACATGATGGGTAGGCAATCCTCGTAGTTAGTTATTCGAGGAGTACGCAATCATACTATTTTTTAAATCAGACGAAGATCGATAATTCAATTCATGAGGAATCATTGTACTTCATATTTCTCTCCAAACGACTTTACAGCTCCATTTGCATGACTGAAAATTGGTAGTATCTTTCGTTTACCAGTTGGAGCTGAACTAATTCTTTCAATGTGAAATCCCGTGCAAAATTAACGGTTAAAGTTTAATATAAAATTCTCCCCAAATGGAGGTTTTGGCTCGATGTCTGTAAACCCCTGCATATTGTCGTCGCTGATCATTTTTCCAAAAAATTTGCATGACCACATCGCCAGTCGTACGATTCTTAACAAGACCTGTACATTTTGCACTGGTGCCAAAACCGCCGACATTTTTATTAAGTCATACTTTTGTAAATAAAAGCGACACACACGTTACAGTAATTTTCAATCTACGATATCTTGGTAAAAATTACATTAAATTGATATAATCATATATCATTGCAACGCATGTGATTCTGTTGATCGGAATATTGAGCATATATATATATATTTTGGTCAAATTGAAGGTGTAATTACTTTTGACAAATACCTATCATAAGTAATAAAAGCAGGTGTCTGTGACCTTGGGAAAATAGACAAATTTCAGAAGCATTGCCATGATCAAGTAATTGCAGAAAAAAGGCTCAACACCAAACGCTATCCATGCATGAAAATTTGAGCACAGCCCCAGGAAAAGATGCCTCAACCTTGGTCACCGTAAGGTGGGCGGCAGGAGAAGCCGTAAAGACGACTCCCCAATTCTGGAAGGACTGTGACGTCAGCAACTCAAGGAATGATCCTTGAGATGCTTGAGATCCTGAGAATCCATGGTGAAGACTGAGCCAAACTTTGCTAGTTTAGTAGCATTTACCAGGAGGGAGAGTACATTTCATTATCACAGAAAATATGGCAATGATGAAAGTACCAGCTCGTTGCCTCTGACGTCTGATCGAAAAGGCAACAGGCACGTCCCGCGATGATCTAGCTGTTTGAAGCTGATCCAGAAAGTTCTTGATGGAATTCATTTCCATTGTAACGCACTGCAGCTGCGGAGAACGTTTTGGACAACCAAGAGAAGGACATCCAAAAAGTTATCAATGTGAAAAAGTAGATGATATTGATGTCTTTTGGTTAGATATTTCTAGTTTGGCTCAGAAGTTACCTACCACCATCGTAAGTCATGCCTCACAAGGCTGTGGTGTACACGCAGGTGAGGTATGTCATGCAGGAGTCGGTGGTGTGCACATGGCGGTGTGGTATGTGAAGCCAAACCAGGCTGTGGTGAATGCATGTGGATGTATGTCATGACTCACGGGACTGAGGAGGATACATGCATACTGTCAAATACTTAACTCATAGTAGTCAAATATCTTGTTCACATATGACGAAGTAATACATGTCTTTTTTTAAGGTGGAAACTGAAAAAGTCCTCAATAAATTATTTTGGTTTACTTTACAATTGATCCTATTTAACCATGAAATTTTGGAGAAATGTTTATTACTATTGTAAATTCTTTGTCATTATCAAAATAGTGTTGTTTTCCCAATGACTACAAGACATTCATATCAGCAGGGAAAACATGTATTCCCCATCAAAGGCAATCAGATACAAAGGGCAAATTGCCATTTTGTTCAAACTGTATCCAGTTTTCATGGAAGTTGGATATTTGGTGGACATCAGCCATCCTATTTTTATAGTTTATTGCACACAACTGGAAATAAATCCATCTAAATTTTGGTGGGTTGATATGGCGGTTTTAATGTCATACTTCTTGGTTTCTTTTGTTTTGTTTCATAAACTTGAAATTCAAAGGAAATATCAAGATTATTATTCGATTGTTTTACTTTGAATCACAAAACGATGCAAAAGAAAAGCTAGGGTATATCCAGATCACCTGGCATAAACGTGTGTCAGAAACACAATTTGTATATTTTGATACTCACATATAACCATTTTCATAGAAATATGTAATTTTCTCTTAATAGCTTTATGTTTTACTGCATGAAAGTTATGCACTCATTTGCAACTGCAGTACTGGTCAGATATTGTGTGCAGAGACCCCCTCAACAGATTAGTTGCAGGAAAATGTGGGAATAGAAACTTTTTTTGAGGCTCCTGGCCACCTGGTTTGGGGCTTTCTGCATGGCATCGAACTTACTGTTTATCATTGCTTGCATAATACTAAATGGGGAGGTTGTAATATATTGAGTCATGGTCAAAGTCATCACATTTTTATAGGTTCATTCATAACATTCGGGTTAGTTTTGAAGTTAATAGTTAGACATTTCATTGATGAAAAGTACACAAGTTGGGGTTCAAACACAGCTTCTAAAATTATTTCCATCAGTTTCAAGGCAGGTTGCTCAATTTAAAGGAAGGCAGCATGTGTTAAACATAATTTGGTGATGACTTTTAGTTATAGTTGTAAGTTGATGTTTATAGAAGGTCTAACAGTTACCAAAGTATTATTTGACATTATTATTTGAGCAATGGACCTGAAGAAGAACAAATTGAAACGATATTGAGAATCAAAGGGCTAAGGCACTGATCACAACAGTGAGTAAGTATAGTTTAAAACCGCTTTTAGGAATAATCGAGCAATATGTGGTCAAGACACCAGGAATGGTCTCCACACATTGAATGGGGATGACAAGCAACGCATGAATGGCATGGCCACTCCATCACCCAACCACAAAAAAACTTGTGCATTTCTAAAATAAAAATTAAATAGAGAAAAATATTTTGCCCTCAGATTTGACTCCAAAATAGTAATCTGTTCACTGGCCATACTGGATGTGGGTGTAATTATTTTTGACAAAAACATTTTAGGTGCATTGATGAAGAGGTTACAGACAAAGGCCTTTTAAAACCTCTAATGATGTTTTGTTGTGATGTTCATTGGTACCCAGATCATAATTACATCAGGTTGTATTTTACCAAATCTGATTTTAGACTCATCTAATCTTGGACAGTTTTTTTAATCATTCCTATTCATTCATGGACTCTTCACAAAGTTCATACAGCTTTGGGGAGATGAAATTCAAGTACTTTTCTGAGATAACATTTATTTCAAAATAAAGATTTTGTAATTAGGGATTACTTACTCTCCTGCAACAATCTCTAAAAGAATGGGGCTTTGGCAGAAGGCAGTAAAGAAATGGCTAGTAGAAATCTATTCTGCTAGTTCTTTCTCAAATCTTATATGACGGTGATCTTTTCTTGAAATGCAACCATTTTCACTTTCAACCACATTAGATGCCACACAAATAGGTGGCTGTATGTTTAGGTCTTTAGTTGTCGGTGAGTGATTTTCCTGTTGGATAGTACTACTACAGGGATTTATCTAGACTGGAGGTCCACAGAACGTGTCAGCATAAAAATTAAGGTTCACATGATACTAACTATTTTTGTTTTAGCTTTGAAAAGCTCATTTGTAGTTTACTGAATTTACAGGATAAAAAAAGACTTCATACTTACTTAACATTACACTGAATTTAGTTTAAGGCCTCAGAAACATGGGCTGTAAAGTGATTCCCGATTTGGCGCAAAATAGGTGCTTGACAAATGCTTGATATATCCCTGTGCTAAATAGACAAGAATCTCAAACCCATCCCAATAAACATAACCATACATCTCTTCAGCATATAATGAAATTCAGACAGATTCCCCCAAATTCCTTATTACAGGTTATAGTTGGGATATGCTAAGTGTAACAAGGTGTGATCAAGAGACAAAAAGGGACAATACGAACAGTGATAAAGCTTATTATTTTATTGAAGTGTAACAGATACAGCATGTACTCTTTCAGACTATTCATGTCATATTATCACATTCCTGCTAAAATACTGAATGTGAAACGTAACAGATTCATTAAAAGACAAAATAAAGATTGAATGTGACAAAATGACAAGACACTAACCATGATTCAATTGACATAAAACACAATGACATGAGTTGATATACAGTGAAGGCTGCACCTTATGAATATTCTTAGAAGCTGTGGTGTGACCTTAGTATCGTGGACGAGCAACTGGCATTCCTCTAACAGGGGGAGCTGTGGCCATGCCCTGTTGGGTGTAACTCGGGCGAGGGATGCCAGGGGTGTTCAGGAGACCAGGTCGGCCAGACAGGTCCCTGGCCATATGAGGGCCTGAAGCTGTCTGGGCGCTTTGGGTACTGGAGGCAGCACTGATGTTCCTCAACAGATTGGGGCCACTCTGGATCAGGTTGTCAAGAGCCTTCTGAACACTTGGGTTGTCAAAGTTGATAAGTGCTGTGTTAACACTGCCAGAGCCTGAGGCTGGGGCTACAGGAGGAGGTTGACCATGGCTGGACATGTGGGTTTGGGGAATTCCAACTGACCCTCCTGCAGTCGGCTGTCCACTACCATTGAGAATGCTGAGGATCTTGGTCTGAAGTTCTTGTTGCTGTTGTTGCTGAAGCAGACCATCTTCTTGAAGAAGTTGTGCGCTTGGTGCAGGTTCACGGTACCCAACTAAAACACCAAGGTCTACTCTTTAGTAAATGTTACTTGCTGACCGACACTTTTGTTTTGTGACATTTTTTGCTTATACAGTGATGACAAAAGGTTGGAAGATAATCCAGCTGGACAGCCATGGATTGAGATAATTCAATGATGCACAAATAACACGGCTGACTATTAAAATCCTTCAGTGATCATCATCAGCCCAGCATTCACCATCTATTCACCAGGTGCTGACAAATCAATGTTCTAACAGCAAGGATGATGAAATAATATATTTTATCTCCTGACTGTTTATAGAACTGTAAAGAGTAACATGGTGTGCTGATGATTAAAATTTTATTGTGACTTACAAAATCAGGTACAAAAAGACATTGTTGTTGAACAAAGAGTAATTCTAAAAAGCTGTAAGTACCCCCATACGTCTATTGGCAAAGGGATGCTCCAACTCACCATCTCCTCCTGCCACTGGTCTTCTCTCCGACTCAATCATCTTGTCCCTCCTATCTCTTAAGTACATGATAATCTTATCCAACTCCTCCAAGGTAAGCTGGCGATTGTCAGCCAGAAGGTTAAGCAAATAAGACACCTCTTTGGAAGGGGGTAAGAATGGGGGTGGCCGTGCCCCAGCGGCAGGTGTTGCTACAGGAGCGGCAACAACAGCAGCAGCAGCAGCAGCAGGGGCCGCCGCACCAGCAGCTTTCTCCTTCAGCGTCTGCACATATTTCTCAAAACTGCGGCCAACAAGGCTCATAGCATCTTCAACGGGCATATTCCTGTGTTCTGTTGTGCATAGAAGGCAAATGAAGGTTAAAAGTTACAGCATAAATGATAACAAACATGCAATTACTTCCAAGATTAATATAGCAATTGTAGTTATTCAAAGAGCTGTCATTAAAATAATATTCCAAAAGAAACCACTCATGTATTTCATCCTCATGACAAGTACCATGGCAGCCATGACACATCTTCATGCTGTCTGGATTCTCTTGACCATAACAGGAGTCTGTTAAAACAGTTTGCAGCATCATCAGCAACCTTTATATGCTGTCAAAATGTGAACATCATTATGTTTCCACGGTTGTTTGGAATTTTAAAAGTTTTTGTTTATCTTTGAGTTCGCGTGAAATCATGTTTTGTTTGAAATCTTGAAAAATCATGTTTTTGTTTGAAATCTTGATTTTCATTAACTTCCACATGCTTAAAATTATTTGTAGCATGTTTTATTTTTAAAGAAAGGATTAGTCATTAGTCTCTGATTGTCATTTTTGGTCATCTTCATTAAATTGGTATTGTTTGTGTTATATGTACGCAAGCGAATTGAAAAAACTATCACAAACACTTTGGATTAATGTGAATGCTTTGCATTGGAAAATTGGGACATTTTTAATGCCCGACTTGGATGTCAGTATCCAAATGAAAGAGCCGCATTATTGTACCATTTTGGTTCATAAATCGCATATGGTCTTTCCGATGAGTTTTATCAAGTTTTAATGCACGACTTGGATGTCGGGGTTCAAAGAGGCATATAAATATACCATTTTGGTTCTTTAATTGCATATGGTTAATCGTATAATTTGTGTTGACTTCATGTTGTCGTTTATTGTTATACAGCGGGGAAAATAGGTTAACTTGAGGCAAAAAGTACGACCCATACCTTTGCCACTATTTTATGCTCAATTTTGTTTGTTATATTTTGCTTTTAAAAGTAGTTAAAGTCTTTTTAAAGAAGTTTTAAGGTGAATTAGTAGTTTCAATTTAACATCAAGAATCCAATTTTTCAGAATACTGGTACATTAAATTATGTCCATAACATTGCATTCTTTTCAGAATGACTGTTGCACTTCTTAAATTTGATTTAACAAAAGTTCATGCGCTTGTGTCAGTTTTGCTTTCATTTGTATATTAATATTTTATTAGTATATTCTGGTAGTATGTAGGTCGAATACAACTGAAAGGTGTGTTGAGATTACATTGATTCACTGAGCATTTACCCACACCATATCTGTTTGAATGTTAAATTTTTGTCAATTATGTTCAAATGTTATATTTCTTTAAATTCAGAGCAGTGGCTTCAAAAGTTCATGACAGTTCATGTTCCATTCAATTAATGAAAAAGTATGGTGAGCTGTCAGCATGATAAATGAGAAGAAATCTGCTACCGCATATGACAAAAACTACAATGTGACAAACATCCCACCACCATTACACACAAACTCTTTCAACAAAATGTTTTCGCTATTCTTATACTTGATGAAGGACACATGTGAATCAGTATACTCATGGCGGTTGTCTTTTTTACTGTAATTATATCTGACCTGCATGTCTTGCCGCACAGTGATGACCCCACAAATGAGTCAGAGTCTTGTTTTATAATGCAGAAAGCAAAATAATTGATAGCCATGTGATCCATTCACAGCCATCAGTGTTCATTCTAGTGTCGTAAAGCAGGGCCCTGTGGAGCCATCGGTAGTCAAAAAGTAGGGCTATTTCTAAAAAGGCCAAGGATACAAAGACAAAAAAACTTTCTTCAAATGAACAGTCAGTCAGTCAAGGCCCTTTGATACCGCTAGGCCTGTTTAGCTTGCTGACTCACAGGATAATGAATGGAAGTCTGCTATTAGACTGGAATTGACAAAAATATGCTTGCTGTAACATTGGTTGTAAATTTCAATATTTTGCTTGAACTAAAAAGTGCTGTAAACAGTCAGGGTGGCCTCTTGCCCAAGTGGCAATTCAATTCCCATAAGTCTATGTGGAAATTCAATTTTGCATTTTTCCCCCTTTTTGTTAAAAAAAAGGTATTAACTTACATTCATTACGTTTGTATTAATGTACTTTTGAAAATTAATTAACAGTAATCTTGACTTAGAAAGGGAAAATGTTTAAAAAAAATCATTGTAAAACTCTTGACACCACTATTAATATGTTGATTGTAACGAGTAGGGAACTTGACCCAAATTTTAAAGACACAACCAAACTGTTTCACATGTTGATTGGCACATCCACTTTACAACCAAGCTCACAACGGCAAGACTATTTTTTAATGTATGTGTCACAGAATGGGATGGAGCTCGCTTCATCACAGGTCGCATGCACAATGCTCCTTTCCAATCTGAAGACTACTGTTTGTTACAGGTACATGTTATGTCTTAGATATGAAATTAATTGTTTTTGACACTTCGCACCAAACTGCCGTACCTGATAATTCACCTGCCATATATTTGAAATAGACACAACAATGCTGCAATGCTGAGCCCTAGAATGAACACTGAGCCAAGCCACACATTGTACCATTTAATCAACATATAAGACAAGTATTGAGTACTGGGGGGCTATTCTGCCCTGAACTCCAACAAGTTACACACTATCACAAATAAAAATCCTAATCACTACCTTCCTAACCGGCACCCAGAGGAAACTCTTACCTTGTGGACTTCCATGCAGAATGTTGAGGGTGAGAGAGCGATGCAGCTCGTTCTGACTGTTGATGACAATGGCAAACAAGCCTCCACGATGAGAGATATCCTCGATCTGTTGAGACAGCGTTCTGTCCTCTGGGATCACGACCAGATCCGTGATTAGGTTCAAAATCTTCACTTGGCGTTCAATGGTCTCACCATACGTTCTGCAAGAAGCCACATAAAGTTGTCAATGTAAGGGAGGTTACTCAAACTGTCTTATTGTAAAGATATTATTTGAAATAAAGGGGGTCTCAGGGTCCTTGAGGTTTGCCCCTATAGTATTTAAATAAAGGGATCCCCAAATCCTAAACATTTCGTATAAGGGCTATAACCGTTTCACTTTTATGCTTAATTTAGAAGCCTTAGTATCAAATGTACCTACAAAAGATTTCTTATTACTAATTCAAATCATTAACTCTTGTATACATATATCAGGGATTCAGCTTGACCTACAAAACTAGGGGTCTAGAGCACCCCCAAACACTAATTTCAAGGGTCCTTACAATAAATATGAGAGCAATGTAAGGTAATGAAATGCCGAAGTGTCCTGTACTGTAAATAATTACAGGAATTTTACATTTCTTGATGATAGTTAGGTACAATGAACATTATTGTGTCCCACGGGAGATGCAATCTCTACATTTTCCTGCGTCTGCTGTACATATTTGTGAGTAATAGACGCACATTTTTGTAAAACCCTGCACAAACAAGTAATAAAACATGACAAATCAGAATTAAGTATGTACTGAAATATATAGCAGTATTTACGTCAAAAGAGATATTTTGAAATCTCTATCAAGAGAAGATGTAAACTAGAGGTGTTTGCATGACATGCAAAAACAGAAGCAGGCATTTCCTCATCATTTCCTTATTTGAATGCCCCAAAACTTTCCCATCAGAAACATGTATGAGGAACCATTTTGACTTGACCACATCAGCAGATGTCACATATCTCCAATGCAGTACAACTTTGAAACAGAGAGTCCCATGCCTCCAGCTACTTTAATGACAATGTTATTTCTGGTTCTGGTTCAATGGCCTTGACCTCCAATCTCAGCCATGAACTGCCTAGATGTATAATGTATGTATGTGTGTGCGTGCGTGCGTGCGTGCGTGCGTGCGTATATATTGACCAATCAGATTCCACCTCTCATAACACTTGCATTTGCTTCAACAAAAAGGGCTGTGCCCAGTCAAGATGATCAGATCGATACACAAGATCTATATTGTAATAATATAGGTCTTACTTTGCAATGTGCATCAAATTAAACAGGCACCTTAATTAGGAACATGAAAGGATTTAGAAAATATCTGTTCACACCGAGTTGGTGGTACACATGCTTTACAAATCATGCAATCGACAGTTAACGAACCAGGTATCGATTTTGTAGTGCGATTTTGACTGGACTTGCATAAACTGGACTTTTATAGTCAATTAACATTAGATACCAGTGACATTGACTTCAACTTCCTCCAATCACATGCAAGAACAGTACTTAATGCAAACTATGGTAGCATTAAAAAATGGGAATCACGCACGCACGCACGCACACACGCACGAATACAGTGTTAGCATTGGGCGTCTCAACGTGCGTGATTCCTGTGCACCCTTTCGATTTGAGTTGATTGGTTCAACTGTGTCATATGGCCCTGTGACACAGAGGTAGCATTATGCAGATGGCTGTTTCAATGAATGCTCGTTCCACCCGTGACGAACAGGTCTGGTTGTTGATGAAATAGAGTGATAGCTAAATAGACAGATTTTTTATTCATACACCGATTGTCTTTAAATGTAATATCCAGTTATGTATGACTGTTTAATAATCTCATACCAACTTTGACTGGAGTAGGTCCAATAGTTTTTCAGATATTGTAGTAAACGTCGGTACCTTAATTACCTTCCAGGCTATACCTGTGACCACTTTTCGGAATGTTCTAGGATTGCAGACCTTTGTACCCTGTGTTGATAAGTGTTGCAAGACAGCACCGTTTTCCAAGCGCTCTTGCCGTCATGGTATAATGGAAATAAACCTACTGTGTTTTGAAATTTGATGTAGTTCCACTGTAGAGTAGATACCTCTTATTTTAATTTGGAACCAAGTGCTTATTTATATCTTCTCAACAGTGGGACTACATCAAATTTCAAAACACAGTAGGTTTATCTCCTAAATATCATTTGTTACCATAGTCCCATCTGAACTTATAGCAATATTTGCCATGGGACAACTGATAACTTCACAAGCTGGAATATTAATTATAGAAAAGTTTCCCTTTGATTGCCCTCAGACAGGGAGGTGAATACTTGTCTGAGAAACGAGTTCATGATATTTTCAAGAACAGGGGTCACAGCATGAAGGAGCATACCACAAACCTACCGGAGTTTGTTGGTCATGATAACAACAACACACTCAGCCGGTGCTGGCGGTGGCTTCCTTTGTGGTGGAGGGTCATAGTAGGGGTCTCGGTATGGATCTCTGTAAGGGTCGGCAGCATATGGGTCACGTCTGAAACAAAATCAATGTGAGCAAAAAGATGATTTGAAAGCAAGACAAGTTGATTCAAAACACCAAATGAAGTGCCTTGCAACCATTTAATATTGTTTTTTTGTGTGAGAATATTGGGAGGTCCCCAGATATGATCATTCAGTGGTCATGCTTTCAGTCACTGGTCTGCCTGGTCAAGACTAAACATTTACAGGATGACATGATAATATTGATATGGCTGAAATATTGCTGACCGGTGCAGAGATGAACAACATCCATTCACTCCCACTTGACAACACAAAAACATACTTACACAAAATATGCTATCAAGAGGCTATCAAAGTTGCAATAAACTACACAGGAATTAACATTAAAGCTAAAAATGTAAGAGAGAGTTGGATTCAATGGCACTGAACAGTATTTCATTTATATCAAAGCAAGCCCAAAGTGACGCAAGTATCATAATAAGGCCTAATCTGGGATTTGAACCCACAATCATAGAATTAAGATACGCCATAAGGATGCGACTCAGTAAAGCAAATTGCAGCAACACAGAAGACAGGGTCATTTGTACACCCTCATGGCTGGTAGTTTGCTTAAGTGTTGTTGAATGCCATACTCAGTAATTTACCAGCCATATGACGGCACTATCATGGCAGCCTGTACATAAGAGTGAGTGAGAGTGAGTGTGAGTGAGTTTGGTTTTACACCGCTTCTAGCAATATTCCAGCAATATTACGGTGGGGGACACCAGAAATGGGCTTCACATATTGTACCCATGTCGGGAATCGAAACTGGGTCTTCGGCATGACGAGCGAAAGCTTTAACCAGAAGGCTACCCGACTGCCCCCTTGTATATAAGAGTCTTGATCACACAAACCAGTGATTGATATCATTAGTAACAATGCCGTCGGGTATGATGACACACAATCAACCAGCAAGTCTGACCACACGATCCATTAAGTCGCCTCAGCATAGGTTGATGGGGAGCAGTTCAAACCCTGAATCCCCATTGGTATATGGACAGTAGAGAATACTTACCTTCTGTCATGAGCAACATAAACAACACTGCGTATAAATATGATACTTACACAACAACAAAGACTAACAACAGAAGGGCAAGTAACACGCAAGCAGGATAAGCTGACTAAGCATGAAGGAATCGTGAGTCACCTGTAAGGGTCATCTCTATATCTGTCATAGTAGGGGTCTGGTGGAGGCGGTCGTCTATAGGGGTCATCATAATAAGGGTCTCGAGCCTCTCTGCAAGCAGAACAAGACAACATTGGCAGGTACTTCAACATGGATCCTGCAGATCGGCAACCATTTAGTATGTTTAGCAACTTTATTAGTATAATTGCTTTTGTCTCTATTTCAGAATATGGTGACACATTTTTAAATCTATTTGCTCAAAATGACATTGTGTAATATTTCTTGACCATATGGTCAATCACAACAAGGATTAAAAGGTGAAAACATCAGGTGATATTCAAACCATGCTAACAGTGAATTCACTTAACTCCTTAAATAATCGCAGTTGGGTAAGGATCAGACGACAATAACACTTCAAATAGTTGTCCTGATTTATGTTTTCAATGTCATATAGTTATCAATGCATGAGTCACTCAGTCATTTTAGCTGGAGTAACATGCAGTTTAAAAAACATGTGTTCCATATGTATGTGTAAGGAAGGGAGCTAAGTCCTGAAGTTGGCGTCTGTCGTTCAGCAACATGGTAAGACCGACAATGAATAAGCATGGAAGACATACAATAGCAAGGCTGCAAGGTTGCACATGCAACAAATGAAACGTAAATAAGAAATATTGAAACAGGAAAAATCATCTCTCAGTGTTGTATTACTAAAACAACAATACTACATGAATTTGTATACTTATGATATTAGCATACTTATCTTGACACAACATATAGCAAATTCCTTCTTCACTCCGATCATATAACACAGAACCTAAAACGTGCCTATCCTACATCTGGGGTACCTGCTGCTCTTGGTTACCAATCAGAATTATCTTTCCTTGATCCCTCACTGCAACATTTTGCAACACTTATCCCACAGTTAGAGGCATTATTGGTAACCAGTGCTGGAAACCATCTGGATTAGGCTATGCTCAGCGAGTACTCGCTTCAATAATCCCATATCATCTGTCCCATCCTTACTCTAACATGATACATGACACCCGGAGGACTGGAGCTTTGAGTTGTAGCGAATAGCAACAACAGCCGAACAACCCATCAGAATACTTAACGCTACACAAGGGAAATATCGGGTTAACACTCCACTGTAGCTTGTAATGACAATCTGAATGCTTGAAAGAAAAAGCATTGATGAGTGTTTGAAGCAGTCTAAAATGCATCGTATATTAACAAGAGCTCGGCTATCTGTCAAGAGTTTTGTTGAGACATCCTTCCCTGCCCAAAGAGAAATTGGGGACATCTGTGATACATGGTGCAGAACAGTCAACTACTGTGCCAATCAAGAGTTGTCAAACCTGGTACTTTCTACATTGAGGTGAGATGTCTGTTTGCCAAAACATTTCTTAATGACACCTCAAACTGAACAGTTGATGGTGGACCCTTGATCACGGATGCCAGGACCATGATTCCGTGTGGATTATGTGCTTAAGGAGGATCTGACCCTGCATGTTTGTATGCCTGCATGATTGTTGCCCTGAGGCAAAACGCCATGATGTTCTTAGTAATAATAACAAGCATGAAGTACTTTCTTTGGCTTGACGGTCATCAAAACCTTGAGTACTTCAAGATTATGTACTGTACTATAGCTTCACCTATCACTGAGGAAGTATATCGTATCATGTTATGATATATAGATTACCCAACTACATAATTATGGATCATATATTGGTTGCCACTGATGACAATTGTCAATTAAGTATTGTAACAGGTTGTACTAACTGTATTAAAAATCATGACACAGTCATCAGCCATCTGAGGTTTTATGGTTTCAGATAAATTTATGGGAGCAGGGTGCAACCTGGTTTTGTCTGGTGCAACTAGGTTTTTATGTCAACATGCATGCAGTGCAAGTTAATCAAGTTCCTTAAAGCTCTGCACGCTAATGTCGACAGAGGTGTCACTTCCCGTGCATCTGATGTCGAACCAATTCGAGAGGCGAATAGCAAAATGACACCCCAAAATAAAACTTGCCATATCTATTTACCAAGAAGGCTTTGCGTAACATTTAAATTACGTATGACATGCATTAATGCTTAGCTTGCTCAATATTAAATCTAAATCGTAACATCATCGATTGGATGGAACTTGTATGATCATGGTAACGGCGGTAAACAAACAACTCCACATACGTCGTGATCCCGTAACACTATTATAACCATTCAGTTACATCTGACTTAAGTTTCTATAATTAGTAACATGGATGTATATATCTTTGTAAAAAAACTCATTTTTATCGAGTTTGCAAATGATTTCGTTTGATAAACTTTCTGACATTGACCTGTTGTTGACAAACCGATCAACGCAGGCTAGGCCTAACTCACGATTTGTTTAGTTGAACAAAGTCAACAAATGCTGCGAAAAATTAATAATATTTTATGATACGCAAAATCTGAACTTATATACATTATAGGTAAACAATTCATTAGAAAAATAATGCATATTACGAAAAACAATCAAGATCCTTGCAATTTTATCTATCGTTCTGAAACCGGAAGCACGTACCGGATCTCACACACCGAGGCAAAATATGCAAAAGTTTATCAAAAATTAAAATTTAAAAACCTGTAAACAGCTGTAAATAACTATACAATTACAAATCTATAATCAATACGCAATCATGGCGGTCTTCATATTTTGGGAATAAATTTAGAAATGCTTCGTGAAATTGTTCTAAAATCATGCTAGAATCTATGAATGTATTATGAAAGGAAAACTGTCCCAAATCTAATTTGGAACAAGCACCGAAAAAATGTATATTGCATTTTATTGCAATTGAAACAGGTTTTGTCAAGCCCATTTTCGTGCACCTGTTGTAGAGGGTGATCTTGCTGATCGACGATATCCATAGACATATTGCGTGGGATACACTTATTATAGTGAAACTTATCAGTGTGCACATCACAGAAATATGAATCATGTCCTTTTTTATTCACCATAACATTGAATGGTGATTCTTAAATATCAACAAAAGTTCAAATAAAAGATACCGAGAAACTTGCATGTGGCATGTTGATTTATTTGTCTACCGTTTCCGGGTCACGGGAGCAAGCAAGGTCAAACGGATTAAATAATAGTCACATTTTTATTTCATACTAGTTGTGATTACTGATACTATGTATTGACTTACGTTGTATGTGATAGGCGAAATATTTCAAAATTTACTGTAATTGTTTAGGTACTAAAAATTATCAGGAGACTACCCCTGTCTGTGACATCACATCCAGTGAGCTTTGCACTTACTGAAATAGTGCTGTCAGAATTCACGCACTTTTTTCTTTTTTCTCTCTCGTCACAGTAGTTGGAAAATAATGAATAAAACATCCTTCGATTTAGAAGATCGTCAACTTTCGCCTAGGCATATTTATAAAGGCAATGTAATATTTGTTGATATTGAAATAGCAAAAAGTTATTCATAGGTCGGGTGAAGCGCACCATGTTTTTATTATTGTATATCGTAAATATTCAACCAAAACGTTTGAAATTGGGATTAGTGAATATTTATAAGTCATTAATTGTTTCCTGCAAATTTTATAACATGACGCGTCAGATTAACCCGAATGTTCGTATTTCTGCAGCCGACATGATGACCTCGAAAATTAAGTTATTTTTCTGTTTAACATTTAGATAATAAATTTACTGAAATGGTTTATAATTTACCATCTCGCTGTTATTTAATGATAAAAAACAACAACTAATTTTTACTCTATTAAAATTAATATATCGGAGATATGATTATTGAAATCAATTTGCACAAATGTTACGATATAAAAAGGTTCCTAGCATGAAATGCAAACCACCTTCAACAAGTATTTGTCACAGAGTGACGAAATATCCCCCGCCATATACACCATAGTACCAAATATGAAGACAATCCAGCGTTTAGTTCTTGAGATATTGTGGCAACACCGTTTTCCAACTCCAAAAACAGATTTGCCTGCTGTGACCTTGAAAATGGGGTCAAGGTTACCAAATCTGACAGGTGTATGCGGTGTCTGTATATACACTATAGTTCCAAATATGAAGACAATCCAGATATTAGTTCTTGAGATATCGCGGCAACACCGTTTTCTAACTCCAAAAGCAGATTTGCCTGCTGTGACCTTGAAAATGGGGTCAAGGTCACCAAAACCGACTGGTGTCTGCGGTGTCTGTATATACACCATAGTTCCAAATATGAAGACAATCGAGAGGTTTAGTTCTTGAGATATCGCAGCAACACCGTTTTCCAACTCTAAAAGCAGATTTGCCTGCTGTGACCTTGAAAATGGGATCAAGGTCACCAAAACCGACTGGTGTCTGCGGAGTCTGTATATACACTATAGTTCCAAATATGAAGACAATCCAGTGTTTAGTTCTTGAGATATCGCGGCAACACCGTTTTCTAACTCCAAAAGCAGATTTGCCTGCTGTGACCTTGAAAATGGGGTCAAGGTCACCAAAACCGACTGGTGTCTGTGGTGTCTGTATATACACCATAGTTCCAAATATGAAGACAATCCAGTGTTTAGTTCATGAGATATCGCGGCAACACCGTTTTCCAACTCTAAAAGCAGATTTGTCTGCTGTGACCTTGAAAATGGGATCAAGGTCACCAAAACCGACTGGTGTCTGCGGAGTCTGTATATACACCATAGTTCCAAATATGAAGACAATCCAGTGTTCAGTTCTTGAGATATCGCGGCAACACCGTTTTCCAACTCTAAAAGCAGATTTGTCTGCTGTGACCTTGAAAATGGGATCAAGGTCACCAAAACCGACTGGTGTCTGCGGAGTCTGTATATACACCATAGTTCCAAATATGAAGACAATCCAGTGTTTAGTTCTTGAGATATCGCGGCAACAAACAGGTGGGACGGACATACGGACGGTCGTGAATACTATATCCCCCGCTTCGCGCTTTTGCGCGGCGGGGGATAATAACGCAATTCAGTTAAGTTCAAGAAAATTTACAAATTTTGTGTTCGATTTGGTCTTAACCTTGGTATGATGGAAAACATCGGGATATCTTTATGTAGTACAGTGTAGTTTTCTATCAGGAATATATGTGCAAAATATTTCTTCAATTGGCCATTGTTTAATGAGGCACCGACTGTTTGAAATCACCCACCCTCTTTAGAGCGCCTTATGCTAAAATTAATCCAGCAGGCAGGGGTAAGTAGTGTGAAAATAATTCAGCAGGCTAGAGGTTAAATAACCGATGACCATGATGAATATATTGTCAATGTATTTGTAAAGCAAAGAACTTTCACAGTGTGGTAAATATTGTATGCACTCCAGGACATAAACAGCATGATGACATCCGTATTTGTAAGGCTGAAACAAGTAGTTGAATAAATGTTGCTACTGACTTGTGACTACAGGAATACATAGTCAACTGTCTTTACATTGTACTGAAATAAGTAAGGAAAAAAACCATCACTGAATTGTAATACAGTCATGCCCCGCTTATACGGACTTCAGATATCCAGAAACCTCGGTTCCCGGACGATTTTCATTCAAAACGAAATAATTACTATATAAATTTACCCGTATATCCGGAAATTCAGTTTCCGGAACCGGACAGTCATTTTCATACACAAAAAACTGAAATGCACACAAAATTGTCTCACTTATCCGGACAATACACTTCCGCTGGTGGTAATCCTTTGATTCGTGAGAAGTCAATTAACCCAGTGACACTGAGTTACGTTTGAGACGAGCTTGTTTATTTTACATGTAATCCCCTTCGATAAATATGGCGTCTGTGGAGGTCAGAGGTCAAAGTTGTGTAAGTATGGCCTGTCAACCAGCGAAACGTAAGCGACACGCAGTTACAGCACGCGAAAAAAGTTAAATTTGTCTGTTTAAAGAAAAACACCCGTCAGCAAGTTTAGAAACCATCAGTAAGCATTATGGCACTGAATTTGGACATACCATAGGAAAATCGACAATTGGTGACAGTTCAAACTTCCATGACAGACTTTTTGAAACGTGTATGAATAAAGATTGAGTGGATGTATCTGTTTGCTCTGTCATCTGTCATGAGTTGCATAATTGAAGGGAAGTAACTCTTCCAGTAAGAAGCTGGTTTCAGTTATACGGAAATTCCTTTATACGGACGAATTGTGAAATGACGCAAGTGTCCGTATAAACGAGGCACGACTGTAAACTTAAAACATGTTGATCTCAATTGCAAAGTACAAAATTTAAAGTCTGAAAAGATTGACAGCTGTTACTCTGTTTAAGCATACACTATATCTCACAACCAGTTTTCCTAAGACCAATGTGTGAAGAAGCCCATTTCTGGTGTCTTTCCACTGCAATATTGCTGAAATATTGCTAAAAATGGCGAAAACCATATTCACTCACTAATTACTTGGAGAAAAATAAAGTATGAACGAGTGAGGCCAGTGTCTTTTTTTGCAGGGATTAATCTGGACCAGCTCAGAGACTGATATTTGGCACCAAGTCTGCAGAAAATGTCAGTCGCGATGTCAGTACAAATTCCCAAATTGGAAATACTTTTTTCTCAATTCATGTTATTACAGTTATCCTTAATGTTATAGTCTTGTCAAGGGGACTTTTTTTCACTAAATTCTAATAGCAAGAACAATATGGAGGTAGAAGCATTATTGTAATGAATGAAAAGTTAAACATGTAGAATTCTGAATTTTAAAAATCACAAACTTTAAAGATATGACAATTTATCTTCAGTCCACATGGAGACGTTGCAATCAACACCATACAACTTCTTAGTAATGCCTATCAAACAACTTATACCAATTTTGTAAAAAACAATGATTTTTTCTCTCCCCAAAAGTGCCTGTCAAGGACACCTTGTTTGGAATCCCAGATAAATCACTATTCTTTACCAAAGCAAATAACGCTGAAGTATTTGTGTTTGTTAGGTGTGATCTAGTTCACTGAACTTAACTCTGAAAAACAGCAAAATAACACAAACCAATTAATTACAATGGGCCATCGGTTGGGACACAGCAACTCAGTGTTCAAATTTGGATGACATACATAATCTATGCCTTACTGAATCCTATTTACATTTTTCTATTTGTTCCAAAGGACTGACCGTACATGTTCCCAAGCCACAGCAACGGAAATTCTATGGTAGGTAAACTGCAGCATTTGCTGATCACACATGAATTGTGGATCCATACCTTGGTGGTGGTGGTGGCCTTGCTGGGTCTCTGGGTTCTCTGTACGGGTCTCTATATCGGTCATCATAGGGGTCTCTAACTGGTGATCGATCTCGAGCAACAGGGGGACCTCTCACCAGTGGCTCTCGTTCACGTTCTCTTGGATAACTGTAAACATAATTGCAGCTGTTTTATTTCATCGCTTGTAAGGAGATATGACAATTAACATCAGACAGACTGAAAGGGAAACCAACAACACACAGTTAAAATATGTTCCAATTGTTTCAGATATGAGGAAGACTTTTCTGCTACCTTCCATTCATGTATTTGCAACTTACAAGTTACACATGCAATTATCTTACACGATTTGAAATAAAGCAATGTTTGATCTATGACTGGTTTGGTACCCTTGAGGTTTGTTGCTGTGGTATTGGTATTTTGGGACCCCATAAATCTTAACTTTTATACATTAGTAACCCCTTTACTTTCATGCTTAATTTTGACCACTGTTAAGTGTATGGCTACAGAGATCAATGTAGAAATAGGAAAGCAACCTCACCACTTCCCCCCCCCCCCCCCCCCCCCCCCCCCGAGTCCCTAAAACTTATCTTGCAACAAAACCCTTTCTAAAAGAAACACCTAAATATACATAAACTATCTTGAATTACCAATAAATCAAGAAAACCTAAATGCATTTCCGGTCTAACGACATTATTTGTGTGATTGAGCAAAACAATTCCATGGGGATCTGGAATTTTGTATTTCTCTGTCGGGTACAGACCAATATGAACAAGTCAAAGTCAAACTCATTGCCATGGAAACGGAAAAAACAATTCTAAACACTCCAAAGTAGCAAAAGGCACCATTTGACAACCTTGTCTTTGTATGTGCAAAGTGTCATGAAAGAATACCTATTAGCTTTAGAGATATCGTCCTGACAAACACACCACTATGAACAGAGCCAAATTTGTCGCCATGGAAACAGGATTTAATTTTTCTTTTTTAATTTCTCAATAGCAAAAGGCACCATTTCAGCCCCTGATTATAACATGTAACAAAATTGGATGAAGAATGTTAAATAGTTTTCTAGAAACGAAACCTACCTCTGTTTCATTTACTTCTAACCTTTTTTCCATGGAAACGGAACTTTAATTTTGAAAATTTCCTAAATAGCACTAGGCACCACTTCAGCCCTTGATTAATACATGTATCAGGTTTGGTTGAAAAGTCTTCACTGTTTTCAAGTTGTGCTCTGGAAACGAAATCCACCACCCCCTTTTGAGTCTCAGTCCAAACTGTTTCCATGGAAATTGAGAAAAATAAAAATGCCAAAAATAGGTAAATAACAGAAGGCACCACCATTATATGCTGGGGGGAATACAAATAAATTAAGTCTGTCATGAATTCTTCAGTGTCTATGGCACACAACTCTATCACTGTGTTAAATCTCACTTACACATCTTTGGTACATATTTTTGTGTGCTTTAATACTTTGATTTACAAGTATATGTCAATTTGTACCAATTCAAGGCTTTTCAAGCTAATTGGTGTTATTCAAGGCTTTTCAAGGTTGACGCTAAAAACTCAAGGCTTTTCAAGAGGGATCTTAAAATTCAAGGCTTTTTTAACCCTGTAAACAAACCATGCACTATATAAGCAATGCAGATGATGCAGTAGAATCTTAAAACCAGAAAGTTGTCTGCCAAGAGCTACCTTAAAGTTAAGTAAGTCAGGCTTAAAAAAATAAAAGAATTGGTTCTCAGTCAATGACACTTGAAAATATAGTGCAGGCGGGCAGTGTTTTTTTTGTGTTTTTGTGTTTTTGTTGTTGTTGTTCTTACTAGTATGCAACCAAAAAAACAGTAGTGTACCTTCAACCTGGAAAAGGGCCTCCCTACATAAATGTTTTCCTTGATGAAGAAAATACTGAAATACAATATTTGACTACCGTTGGACTACCAGTGTGTGCATAATACAAAATGGCAGCACATCGATAATCATCACTATTGTAATAAAACAGACTTTACCCTGCACCTTGATTAATAACATGAGACGAATGCTTTTCACATGCTTTTCAAATCCTGCAGTCGAACGAAATCTGCAGGTTGAAATCCATGTTGTTTACGAACAGGATGTCTAGTTCGTTGCGCAATTTTGATTGGATTATGCACAGACTCTTTAGTCCAGGCAAAATGTGATTCCAGAATTCCAGCCTAGTTATGTAAGGGTGGAAACTGGATTTTAATAGTCTGTTAACGCCCTTGCCTCGGGAAGATGGGTGACGAAAGGCTGTTCAATTTTACAAGTCATGACATGGTCTTTCTCTCACAGGCCTTGATTTAACTCCTTTTATTCCACATCACACTGTATTGTTTCACCTTAAGGTATCCCAATGTTTTCCTATTGTTCTTATTGTTCTGATATTTCTTGCATTTAGATTGTTCCAGAAGTTGGATAAAACACTCCTCCTCAGTTTTGGTTGTAAAACCTTCAGATGGGGCTTTTCCCTTGCTCGCGGTTTTACATTTTCAACCAAAACTGAGGAGGAGTGTTTTATCCTTAGCTGAGAAACATGTCCAATGCAATACATCTTTAAAACAACTTCTTTGAGTGGCATTTAGAAGTTGGAATGGTAACTAAGACAAAATTGTTATGGATGAGCAACTTCTTTATTACAATTGGGCGACGTTTCGGTGTAGATTCTAACACTGTTAACAAGCAAATGATAACGGTGTTAGAATCTACACCCAAACGTCGCCCAATTGTAATAAAGAAGTTGCTCATCCATAACAATTTTGTCTTAGTTATCTTTAAAACAGAAAGTCACATGTCCCAAGCTACCTCAATAAGAAAGTGATATGCATTTCGTGTCTAAATGAACATGAGCCTGAATTTGCTTGCTCTTACAAACACGTCATACCAACACTGAGGTAACTGTTCCAATGACCCTGCCTGACCTTCACAGAAGGATCTATCGAAGGCCCACATTGAGGATGATATGTACCAAACATAATAACCAATAATGCTGTGTCTATCTGTCCTTATTATGAGGGCAAACTGTATATAGAGACCAAATAATTATTTGGGAAATCAAAGCTTACAGAAAGCTTGTCACATCATAGTTGTCTTAAATTCCTGTCTTGTGATATATACATCTTGCATCAATGAAACATATATTACGTTGAAATAACTGAAATAATGTAATTTGCTGTTGCAACACTTGGCTACCAACTTCTGCAATACTGGTTGGTGAGGGCTGCTCACGTTCAGACTCTGTTCACAGATCATGCCAATCTCATTAAAATCAGGTCCTAGTTTCTGCTTCCGCTAATCAAAGTGAGAGAGTCAGTCAGTCAGTTGGGTTAAACGCCGCTTTTAACATTATTCCAGTTATATCACAGCATGTCAGCCCTAAGTGATGCAGGTCTCAGACGTTTACCACTTCGGCGAAAACCACGAACACGGGTATCGTGCTGACAAACCTAGAAAAATAATCAGGGTCAAGAGGGATTTGGACCCACAATCATCGGTTTCTGGACGCTAAACAAAGATCTGAGGATATCCCATAATAGGTCACGTAAGAACGACTTTTTCGCGAAATATGACCAACCAATGAAATGACTAACTAAAAAATATTTTGACAAAGTTCTCAATTCCAAGTTTGAAAATTGAACAAAAAATGCATTCTGGGTTATCTGATAGATAGCCGAGACTGTATGGCACTACTTCTCACAGTCTTCTGTTTTAAATGTCTCTGAAGCGAGAGAAAGATGATGATTTTGACGGAAATTTTCAAACAGCCCCAACTGTCGTCTGGAATACTGTGCTAACCTTTTCGAGGTGGCATGATTAGAAAACATGTTCCGACTGCCAATTTTTCCCCATCTGGTAAGCAATGCTCTAATTGGCTGAATGAAAGGGCTTTCTGTGACCTGTAATGGGATGTCCTGAGATCTTTAATAATCAATCTCATTAAAATCAGGTCTTGGTTCTCGCTATCGCTAAACAAAGATCTGAGGACATCCCATTACGGTCACGTCAGAACGACCTTTCATCCGACCAATCAAAGCGTCGCTTACCAGATCATGAAAGTGACAGTCGGAATGTGTTTTCTTATCATGCAACCTCGAAAACGTTAACACGGGGTATTCCGAACGACAGTTAAGGCCGTACGACTGATTCCATCAAAATTATCGTCTTATCTCTCGTTTCCGTGGGATAAACATTTGAACAGAGGAGGCGTTGCACAGTGTGTGGGAAGCACTGCCATACAATCTCAACCATATATTAGACATTCCGGAATGCTCGTTTGTTCAGTTTTCAAATTTTAATCAAGAACTGTGTCAACATATTTTTCAAGCGTAGTCTGAAATGGAAGTCGCCAGGTTGAAACGTGTGTCGTAAAGCTTGAGAAAGCTGCTTTCTAATTGGTTGATGTCAACTTCTTGTTGGTCATTTTAGTGTTCGGTCAAAATTCGCGAAAAGTCGTTCTGACGTGACCCGTAATGGGATGTCCTCAGATCTTTGGTTTAGCGGCAGCGAGAACTTAGATCTGATTTTAATGAGATTGTTTAATAATCAAATTGCATGCAAGTTATTATGACACGTTTCAGCACAGTTTGTTCCCTGTTTACATAGTACCACATTGTTAACAGAACCCTGCAGTACATGACCTAACACTCACCTTGCTGGATGATCTGCAAATGGGGGTGGAGAACGCCTGCGCTCCCGAACCATGACACGTTCTCTCCGGCCCTCTGCTGCCATCTTCACGTCTGAAACATTGCAATTAGTCATTAATTTCTTAATTTCTCTCAAACAAAATGATAAGGGAAAATAACTTAACTGCAAGGTTTCAGTTATCAAAGCCTGTCAACTTTCGCTCCCAACCTGATAAGTTTAACAGTGACACATTTTTCTTTCAATGTGTAAAAAGGAACCAAACAATTATGTTTTCCCCTTATCATACTAAAAACATGTATAAATATGCAATATTCAAACTGCTTGGATGTAATGGTAAGGATTAAACAAAGACGTGAACATACAAGAGGGTATTGAGAAATTCCAGCAGTTCGTATTTTTTCGAAAGTAGTTAGCGGTAGGTATAGTATTCAAACAAGAGCGATACCAAAGAATAAACGTGTAGCTTGACAAAGCATAATAAATGTCTACTGTAGAACAGTCTTTCATATATTTGGCAAAATTCTCATTAAAAATAGGGTTGACTGATTACAAAGAGTTTGTCTTCTATGTGGAAACAAAAAAAGTTGAATTTCCTATGGCACTGTTTTTTTCAAGATTTCTGGTTTCTGCGTAGTCTGCTTAAACACCTGTGTGTACTATGATGATGTAAATTTGTTGTGACCATTTCTCATCTCAGACATTTTACATTCACAATTCATTCCAATATTATTGATAATATCGGCTGTGTAATACCCACTTAGAATTACTATGTTGTGGGCAAATGAGAATCAATAAAATACTGGTATAAACACTGTCCACAAATCTGCGAAGTGGGAAATCTGTGGACACATATCAGTACCTTTTTTATCTAGTTATGCAATAAAATCTGTATGTAACAAGTAATATTAAGGCCATAATTTCTCAACAAATATAGGCTAGTTATTTCAGTTGTAGTTTTCCATATCAATTGTTTTAATGATTCCATATTTTACAAATAAGATGAATGAAATTAATTTTTCTATATTCATCTTCCCGAGGCAAGGAAGTTAACTACCCTTAAAAGTCCAGTTTCGACCCTTGCCGAACTAGGCTGGAATGGGCTCAATCGTAGCGTCACCAGTGCCTATTACGAATAATATCCCTTCTATGTCCCTCATACTGACCAATCAGAATCTGCATATCATATTACTTGCATTTGCTTAAAACAAATTAATGACGCCCAGTCAAGACGATTAGAGTCATAATAATGATCTATATTGTAATAAAACTGGTCTTACCTAATGAAGTGCATGAAATTACATGAGGACCTTGATTAAATTTTTTTAAATATGTGATTCGGAAATAATGCAATCAACCGAAATCGGCATGGCAGTTTATTTATCAGATGTCGATTTCCTTACAGGACTCTTTGGTCCAGACAAAATTTAACTCCATAATTCCAGCACTGGACTGTTAAAATCAGTTAACTCCCTTGACTCGGGAAGATGTTCCATAAAATGCTTTATTTTTGTGTGTACTTTATCATAATTTGTAGTACATTACTGCATCTCAAAACAAGCTTTTTGGAACAAATAACCTTGATATTTGACTATTTTGAATATTAATCTATGGCATGCGTAGACCTAATTGAAAGAGCAACCTCATAACAATCATCATTAAAACATGTTATAAATAGTGCCTTGGCACTGTTGCTCACCAGGCACATTGAAAGTGAGCCAAATGTAAATATACACGCTTCAATTTGAGCTACTAGCCCGAAGCCTTTGTAATGACATTCTGTTTATTCTTAATACCCAACTAATCATAACATAAAATCCACTGAAAAAGATGCAGAGAGCCACTATTGGGCAGGGAGGTATTTGGCACACACTGAATAAGCCAACATTGTGAAATCTTTAGCCGTCAAAAGAAAGGAGCGTGTGGCTGTTAAATGTGGTCTCATTGATTTGAGAAGGGCAGAATATTCTCGTGCAGTATTTTTATTATTTCAAAGTAAACATTTGTGTAAAGTATCCCTATATTTGGCAAAATCAGTTTACGAGATCGTGAAACTTGGAAAGTGAAATCCAAATGTTTTTTTTAATCATGAAACCGTGAAAAGGCATTCCAAATGGCAGTTTCGGGCTTTATGACTGATTCCGAATGCATTACATCCCCTCTGTCCCTCCCCTCGTTCTGACTCAACCTGTAATGATCACTAACGGGATGTCCTCAGATGTTTTCGTAGCAGTAGTGAGCTCTGATATCTGATCATACCATGTTATTGTGAGACTCATGAAACTATCGAGGGACTAGTTGTTTCTTCCACAAAAATCTAGTTATTTTACATAAACAACTAGTCTGAAACCAGCTGCTGGCTACTTGGTTGTAGCCATGACAGACAACATGCCATGCCAAAGGATCACTTCGACCTGTGGTCCTGGTGAGCTAAAAAAAGCCCCAAAGAATCAATGAGTTATGGATCTTTTTGACATAATTATGTTTATTTCTGGAAAAATAGGTATCTGATATTCTAAATCTAGCATATCTAGATATTTGTTAACATTTGTATGCTCATACTGTATAACTCCTTAAAGCATTTACTGCTTGTTCTTGACAGAAAGAAGGGCTGTGTGAGGTCTTGCTGAACAAGAAGTTGTTCCAACTGGTTTTGAGGCTTATCCCATCACGCAGCTCCCATATGACAGCGGAAGTGATGACATCAAGTATCATCACATTACTGCTAGATCGTAACATCTGAAGACATCGTGGGGAGGCAGTTCTGCGACAGGTGGGCCACTTTAGAAGAAGTAATGTAGGATAAGTATACAAATATAAAAAATATTTCTTGACTTTACTAGATTTTTTAACTTATCCTGCATTACTCCTTAATGCATTTTTATCAGACAGAGGGCATACATTCAGATGCGGTCCTCATTGACAAACTCTCCATTAGTTCACAGCAGTCGTTGAGCACATCACTTGCGTAGATCTGTAACTGCTTTAGTCAATCCTGTCCATGGATGGTACAAGAGTATGAGGACATCCTGGTAAAAAGCATCAAGAGAAATAAGCGTGTGCTAAAGTCTAGAAACTGATTTACCAACTGATCCTTTCCTTTACAAAAGGTTCAGTAGGAACGCCTTCTGTCATCATAAAGGCCTCGGGTTGATGTTCAATGTGCCATAGCAATGGTCTTAACTGCCCGTGCTGAATAGCCTCTTGTGCCTAGAAGAGTCAGGTGCTGGTCGAAACCTGCATGGCGTTGGATGTGGTGACCTGCTGTGCAGATGGATGAGGTAGTGAAAGGCTTCCTGCAAGACTTCCGAGATCTACAAACCACCCTCTCGCCGGTCACCAAGGCACAATCACAATGAGAGTAACGCTCCTGATTGCCCTGATCTTCTGCATCATCCTGGTAAGGATCTTCTGTATCACCCTGGGAAGAAGTACTGGTAGCAGAAAAGCGTACACTCTTAGCCCTTCCTGCGGGTCTGGTATCGGAGAGACAAGAGGTGCAATCAGTGGTGACAAGGGCAATGATGGGATGACCAAGGCTACACTGTCTGGCCTGGATTGCTGCCATACGCGATCTACAAGATGCAAGGAATAGAGTGAGAGTGAGTCATCCCCTGATGGTGCAGGCACCAGACCACCGTGAGATGGAGAGTTGAGTGTACCAGAGGTGTTCCTGCCAAGTTGTTGATGGTCCTCTATTTGTGCTTCTCATCCTGTTGAGGAGTCTATGCACACGTGGTATGTTGGGAGATAACTCTGTTATGGAGACACTTCCTAAAACGTTCAACTCTACCATTCACCAGCTGAAAAGACTCCGGAGGTGAGGTGGTTGAGCAACAGATAGGCCAAGGGTCTTGACCTCTTATGTTAGGCACCAGGAACTGTTGGATTGGACGCAAATGTAGTTGACCTCAGCTTGTCACATTCTGGGCTGATGTGAGCAATCCCAGGAGCCCTTGCCACTGACAAAATGTCAGTCGCTGTTGAAGAGCGGGTAGCAGAGATTTGCCTGTCTACAAGACTGTAAAGTTGAAAAGTCGTGCTTTGACAGTACATGGAAAAGTGTCAGCGAACTAATGCCAAATCCCATGTGGACGAAATAAACCTGCCCCTCAACCGAAAGCAGAGGCTTCGACAAAACAGTTTACCTAATTCCGGTCGGAGAGGTTTACAGTCAGAGAATTCTTGACATGTGACATGTAAATAACCCTGTGCAGTAATCTGGAATCCCGCATTTTGTCAGAGACAAGGTTCAAGCTCCACACACGGACAATCCCTTGTGAACTGTGTGGTTGACAGACAAGGGGTGTTTCCAAGTTCTGTGTAGAACGAGTGACGTGGCCGGTGTAAGGGCAAGTTGATCACCATGATAAGTGTGACATCTGGTCCTAACTTGTGAACAAGGATCCTGTGGTGGGTACCTGGTAGCATAAGCAATTCAGTCAAATTGGTCGTGAATTTGATATGATCTTCAACTTTTGGTGCAGATCATGTCTACCAGAAGGCACAGAAAAGTAATTCTTTGAGTACTTCACTGTGGAATTGTTGAGCCAACATAGACAGGGAGAATTGGAAGGAACTTTCACAGAACCCTCACCATAAGGTCAGGCGCTGCCAAGGACTTGAGGAAAATGTTGGAGCTCTGTTGTATAAAAGCCAATTGTGTGTCCAGCAACCACTATGATCCCGTGCAGGGTTGTAGGGATCTGGGGGATCCAATCTGGTAGACTCATAAGCCTGTAGAATGACAGCACGTAACCACAAGGAGATCATGTTTCGGCTAACTTTTGTCTGCGAGGTCCTCCCATCCCAGGTGTGTGGTATGTCCACCACCTCCAAAGCATGGATGGGGAAATTGTCCTTCCTCAACCCAGGAATCTTCAACGCTGATGATAGAGATAATTTCGCATATTCTCCATCCTATTCTGACACCAGATCCTTCAGCATCTGGTCTGTTGGAATGGGGGCAGCCTTGGACCAATAGTGTCTCGTTTATTCACACCCAGGCCAGCGTCTGCTGGATCATGAACGTTTTGTTTTTGTTTTTGTATGTGTTAGTACCGACTAATGCTGATTTTCATAGTGCTAGCCAACTGAGATACCATGCAGCAGTTTAACATGAATACCCCACTCAGACTCAGTATACCGACTCTGAGCCGACCAGTCCTTGTTTCAACCCCTTAATGCAGAGCGCCAGGCTGTGTAACAACAAGTACCATCTTTCTGTATGATGCGTCCAGGGATTGAACCCAGGACCTTCCGCTCGTTGGGCGGATGCCCTACCACGGAGACGGTCTGCATTAAAAAAAATACAAACGCATGACACGAAAAAAGGATCCACAAAGTGAATTCAAATGGCAAGTTGGAACAATAATATGCCTGATACTTACCATGACAAATATGACACAGTATACTGACTCCGAGCCGACCAGTCCTTGTTTTAGCTCCTTAATGCCGAGCGCCATACAGGGTAACAACAAGTACCATCTTTTAACGTCTTTTGGCATGACGCAGTCGGGGATCGAACCCCGGACCTTCCGCTCTCCGGGCGGACGCTCTACCACTAGACCATGGAGGCGGTCTCTGAGTGACAGCAGTAATGTGATGATACGTGACATAATCACTTCCGTGGTCATGTGGGAGCTGTGTTATGGGATTAGCCACACAACCAGTTGGAACAACTTCTTCAGCAAGACCTCACACAGCTCTTTTTTCTGTCAAGAACAAGCAGTAAATGCATAAAGCATGTTGCAGTAAAACATATGTAACATAAGAGAGAAAGAATTCAAAGAACGGCAATCTTGTGGCTTACCTCAAAAATCTTCTTGCAAAAAACAAAATTTCCTCATATTCTTAAGCGCAATATGTGTAAGGCGTGTTTGGTCGTTTAATGATAAATCAGAAAAGCAACATTCCATGCAAGTCCACTCTCTCGCTGTGATATACATACACACTAATGCATGCCCACACACATACACACATTCTCACATACAACAGCATACACCGACGCACAGGTGTAAGAATTTTTTTTTACAAAGGCAATTATCAGTGATTGTTTAAAAACAAAGTGTAAGGAATAAACCAACAACAAATTTTTTTGGTACCTTTTTTTATTGTAAAGATAATACATCGAGACATGGTCAATGACTGCTCTTTCATGACGGAGGCTATTGTGGTCACTGTTATTAATGTTTTCAAGAACATATCACTTTACGTTATTATCGCAATACATTGGACATTCCATGTCACCTTTTAAACAACACATATATCTGAAATAAATATATGCATTACCATGATGACGCACAGAAACATAATAATGTAGATTATGATCAACCAATGCTGTCCACAAAAGTTAAGTCAGAGAATGGTTCACATTATTGTTTAAGCATTAAAACCTCTGCAAAATATTCTTCATGCATGCTAATCCGCTATTTTGTGGTATTAATAGATTTCTACAAAAGCTTTAGCAAATTTAGAGAATTTCTTTTGAAAATAAAATGCCAATATTCCAAATTTTAGAGTTATTGCAAATGAAGGCGATGAGATGCATAGCAACATCAGAGACAAACATAGAGAAACATCACCTACCGACTAAGGACCCTTTAATTAATGATCTCTGCTCTTTTTCAACAGCATTTCTGGCATCGGCTTCGTTTACAAATTGGACAAATCCATAACCCCTTGGATGCACAGATGCATCTGAAAATGGACATTGGTGATTGAAGATCTGTTATAAAAACTCCATGTTGTGTGACTTGAGCTCACATGCATAATTCATAACTTCCACAAGTAAATACAAAGTTTATACATCACATAATATCAACTTTGTATCTACATCATAACTTAAATAAGTCAACAATACTCAACATCATATCCAGCAAATCTAAAATATGTCCGCCGTGATATTGCTGGAATATTGCTGAAGCGGCGTAAAACCAAACTCACTCACTCACTAAAATATGTCAATTTATTTGTCTATCAAAAATGTTAAACGTCAATCCTACTTTCCAGCATGAATTTGAAAAAGAAACACGACTGAACATGTCAAAAGAGAAACATTGATCAATAGATAAATGTAGTATAACATTGATGTTACTTTCCAAATCATCTCACCAAGAATATTCCCATATGGAAGAAAATGTTTCTCTAATTCTTCTCTAGTTATTCTGTCAGATGGCAGATGTCCAACAAAGATCCTTGCATTCAAATACTTGGGGTCATCACTAGATATAGGTCTCTCTGGCACTGGACTAACTGAATTTTTACGTTGGCGACTGGACTCTCTACTCTTGGATCTTTGACCTCGAGAAGTATGTCCTCTGTGATGTCGAGGGCTTTTGCTGCGGGACCTGTTGCGCTTATTCCGGCTCCGGGATTTGCTGTTTGATGAGTTGGAGGAGGAGCTACTGCTGCTCCTCCGGCGTCGGTAAGGGCTTCTTGGCATCGAGAATAATGCTGCAACTGCTATGGACAAATGTCGGCTAAACACAAAGCATACAATCATTATTACTGGTCCACATTATTGAAGACTGTTGACATGCTACATTTCTGTTCATAAAACTACTGAACACCACTTAGATCAATAGCACAAATTTTTTCCATCACAGTAGTTTCCGATGACCGTGGTATATGCTGCTGTGACACATACAGGTTTTATATGCCTCAATACTATATTACATTAAATGAACCATTTCAGCATTTGATCATTTCGAAGTTCAATTTGAACTTGATGGTGGATCAATGCCTTACAGCAAAACATGGCAAAGACATCTGAGTGTTCTACGACAACTATTTGTAACACGCACACGTTAGCACACAAACACAAGGTGTAATGATACGGTAGGATTTCTATACAAATGTATTACGATATTATGGGTGCAATATATTTAGAGATCAAAGAAGGGATATGACAGGGCAGAATTACATAGCCTAGGGGCAATGTAAATGTTAGGCTATTGATAGCCAACTCGGAATTCTAGAGAATCCGAGTAAGCTGTTTGTTGAACAATTCTTGTTACTATTCAGGTGTTTTTACACCAATATAACTTGTAATGTACAGGGGTTGTGAATAGATGTATTGTACAGTGGGCATTGTTTTGCAATATAATACCGTATTGCTGTATCATAACACCACTAACATAAACATACACATTAAAACTAATGAATGAATAGAGACAATTATTACCTATAACATTGTGTTAATGTACACAAAGGTCATCTGACCTGTGCACTAAAATTTGACCCATTCCCTACTTCTCATGCTCATACATAAATGATTGAAATTAAGAGAGTTCAAAGTCCATGTATGCTGTGCAAAGACATGTAAAAATATAAAATTTGTAAAAAAAACCCAACAATCTGGAGATATCCATCATGCTCATATAAGAATGACGGGTTAACAGCTAACATGAGAGAAGATCAACTGTGGAGGAAAGCAAATAACAGGATTAAGAATACTAGAAAAATTCATGTAATGATAAATATCAAAATCACTTTTGTATATCAAATGTACTATGGACCATATTAAATTACAATTGAACTTTTGTACTGAAATAGATATGTCTTCTTGTATAAACTGTTTTGAAAGATGCTCATGGAATGTTGTAATTAACTGTACATGATATATAATGATTACACATTATTTCGAGCCCATATGAATATTTTAAGTTGCCTAAGAATGTCATAAAATTTCTGTGTGAAACCAGAAGACAAAAGTCTGAAATTATTACATCAATTCATTAAAATGACATCCTTCAGTGCATGCACTACATACTAAGCAGGATCACTGTCCAATTGGTCAGTCGTTGTAATCAGCAGTTTGAAAATTATCACCCACACCAAGTAGAAGTAGTTTGTGATTAGAATTAAAAAATAAATAAATTACTGCTGAGGTCCTGAAGTGCTTACCATAAATGGTTTGATATAGAACAGTGCAAATGTTTCATTGTAGCATTCTATATTCAGGCATACAAATTGGAAGTAGCCTTCATCAAAGTTTGTTTGACTGATTGTGCTAACGTTGAAGGTATCTCAAGGTCTATCAGAATGTTTCAGGTAACTTTACATTGTTAGTGTTTGGATGCGAACGTCCTTTATTTGTGTACACTATTTCCAAATAGATCTGTAAATGCCAATTTCTACATAAATCAAAGAGTTGACATCAATATACCACTGTAAGGATCTCCTTGTTCATAACAACCACCAACTTCAACATGGTGGCAGAATGGCGAGACAACTACAAGTCTGCAAGGACTGCAAAAATGGAGTTTCCTTACATAAACCATTTGTCCAAAATGAGTTTATGTCAACTCTTCAAACTTGATGTGGCCTCGCTTCCCTTCTGCAGATTGACACCATAAATTCGCATAATCATCATACTCCAAATTCACTTTAGCAAGTAAACCTTTAATCAAAGGTTAAAGGTTAAATTGTAGGTATATGTAATAAACAAACCTCAAATAAAGTTTTCTCCCTCAAAATTTATCTGAACAAGCTCTCAACACACGAAATTAGGAGACGTTGCTGTTAAGATCTGATGTGTTCCCCATGCTGCACGCGACTGCTGTTTTGAAAGCACTTTTCTTGTAGATATTATCGCTGTGTAAATGCAAATTCCAGGAATAGGGAAACAAATTTCAAACCGCGGTAAAATTATCAAATTGAAAATAAATTCTTCCAAAAATGCACCGCCATGTTGAAAAGTGCACGCCGATCTGCTGGCAAATCAATCGTAGAAAAGAGGCGATAGCAAAGACCACGGGGGGGATCTGGCACCCATATTGCTATTGCTTACCCATAACCTTAATTGCTAAGGGGGACAAAATATTTAATTCCACAATTCTCACCATAAAATGACAAATTGATTGGCTTTCCTTCTTCGCCCGAACGACTCCTCGCGTTTCACAGTCCTGTTTGCAACATAGCATCTGATTGGTTAAAAATCACAAATCAGCCAATCACAGATAAAGTAACATAACGTAAACAGATCATCATGGCAGAAGGCCATGTATCGTGTACATAAAGAGTACATATTCCACAATGTACACGATATCGTGTAAATAACAGACAATTTATCACAATATCCACGATATCGTGTAAATAACAGACAATTTATCACAATATGCACGATATCGTGTAAATAACAGACAATTTATCCCAATATGCCCGATATCGTATAAATAACAGACAATTTATCACAATATGCACGTGTTAATCAGGTTAATAACAGAACCATAATATGCACGATATATCGTGTAAATAATGAAACATTTACCATAATATGCACGATATCGTGGGAATAACAGCACACGATACTCACACGTTATGGTATCACGGGTTATATGATTGGATCTATCAGCAGCGATTACGAACATTATATCAACTCGCTATATATATATGTTTGCGGTTTATAGGCCTAATATCTACACAGATCAACACATCGATCTCGGCATTTGCGCAACAGTTAGAACCGACAACACTGGTTTTTAATGATACTCGTTGATAAAATGGAATATGATAAATATTAAAAGCAATCATCTACTAGTAGATATATCTATATCTATATACATATCTATATACATATACATACAAATACATATTTAATCATTTACACATCTTATTTACTGGGTATATTTTACATTATATTAAATGATAATTTATATGCCTCGTTAAAATGTAGACATTAATTGCGCAAAAAGTCGTTTTTGCTTTTTCAACGGCGATAGATGTGTGACAACCCTGTCATATATTCCTCAGTACGCAATTTGTAGCGATCCCATAATGACAATAACCTACACTACTGTGTACGTATGCTAAGAAATAAATACCTAAATAACATATCAGAGTTGCCCTATTCAATTCTAATAAGAACGGTTTATGTATTCATATATCTGATGACTGATTATTGGTTTAAAGTTCCAAATACAAATTTTAATATTGTTCTCAACTGAAATTTTTACATATTAAATCAAAATGCGATATTTTCGCATGCAAATTATGATCAGTCGTTAAACATTTTGTCCATCTTTGGTGTTTAAATGATTAATGTTATTTTTTTGTTTAAAAGACATGTAATGTTGCTTCCGTTGAATCTATAAATGGTAGGGGTTAATTACAGACACATTTGCATGTATATGAATATTTTACGTCCGTTTCAGTCACTATTTGTCACATTCTTTTTGTCAAATAAAGATGTTTGTGACTGGGGGATCCTAACATGTTTTTTGGTAACGAGGGTGGGTGCCGATGGGGGTAGGGGGTGTAACTAGAATTGTGTCCCAGACGATAACATATATACATGTATGTAAAAGGTTTGCTGTCTTTGTGTTGGTGTCGGTGTACAATATTTTCATATTATTTCTTATTCATACTGAATTACACAAGTTTTCGGTCAACACACTGGTGCACTAATACATCTTAACTAACGAGCTTACCATGTCATCATGTTCTGACGGAGAAAAACTGTCAGTTTAAGACGATTGGCATAGTATATATTAACAAAATTAAGAAAAAGAAAAATCACACAAGACAGATATATTAACGAAGGAATTATTTGTTATGGATATGTAAGAAGTGATTCGTTGAAATGGTTCAATGAGTATTTTATAATTGCGTTAATCCAAACACGTATACACAATCAACAATCTTTGAAAATATCTGTTTTTGACAAGCTGAAGAAACTCCCCAAGTACTTCAGTAAATCGTTCACACGTCTTCAAACTGCATGCAACATATAATTCAACAAGTGCTTCCTGTGCCTATGCTGGAAGTAAGCGTGTTTGTCACTGGAAGCAAGCGTGTCTGTGATTCTCTAAAAAAAACCTTTTTGTTGGTTGGTAGACACAGGTGTTTGGTTGATCGTCAACTGATATGACATTAAGTTATATGTTGTTTATTATGACGATATTTCGACAGAATTCTCACAGCTGAACTATTTGTAAAAATTCAGCGTTAGTTTCGAGGATTAACAAATGACCTTTACAGAGTCAATTGTTTTATACTGAAAATAGTAACAATTCGTGCTAATAAAATCCATATACGAAAAGTAATCGAAAGATTTTTAGGGCTACTTGAGTGTGCAGGGTGACTGATTGGTAGTCAGCTGATACTTGTTATGGTGTATTGTTTGTTGTTGAATTCTGCTATTTCAACCTGCCGTACTTAGCGGATGCAACCAACCATTTCAGTTTCAACGACAAACTGTAATAACCAGACTGCCTGTTAACTGACATCACAATTTTGCAATCTGTCATCATTTATATTGTTTAAGAAGATCATAAGTGTATTCGAATTATTTTTGGAAAATATTTCCGGTATTCGTCTTTTAATATGCCAAAATATTGATGATGAAAAATGTGAATACATCGAGAGATTGAATAATGGGTTTATGTAAATAACGACACTTGGTCATTATTGGGGAATATACAATGTAGCGTAGCGCAACTGAGACCGGGAACCAGGTTTGTTGTGTAGGAAATTAATAGACCAATCAGCTTTCGCGTCTCACGGCGGAGAAGGGAGTTTTCCAGTCGTGTATATTGCACGGCATTGGTCCACTATATGCACGATATCGTGTATACAGACGGTCTGATGGCAGAACAAACGGAAGGTAACAATATTTTGGAGAATAAACGAAGAACGTTCTTCTGAAAATAGTACATGGATATGTTTTTATAGCTTTGGGCCATATTGTAAAAATTGCAATCAAACTATTAACTTCAAATGTATATTTATGCATGTGTAATCTTCAAAAATGTCCCCGAAGGGCAGTGTCAATGTTTTCTTGGTAAAGGATAACTCGAAGACTTATGTTTACACCACCACAAGCGCCACAGGCAACAGTGCATGTTACCGGAAACACGTTTTTTTTCACCCCAATCTAGTAGCAGTAATGATAATGTTACAGCCCTGAACAATAATATATAGTAAATGGGTCGATGTAATGGTGGAAAAAATATCACCCGGCCATATAAGATAATGGGAGATTCCTTTTATTCCTTTTATTGTTGCAAAGTATGCAGACCAGAAATGTACCACTCTGTCAGTCTGTGCGGTTCCTTTCTCCTTTGATAGTCTTGTTATCAAGGCTTCATGTGCAAACACTGTTGTCAATGGATATGATGGAGCACCTTAAGAATACAGTACCACAACTTCTTGTGAGAACGATATCTGCCGTAGGTCACATGTCTCAAAGACAAGCAACCAGTTTTTGTGACAATCTGTCTGACACGAACTCGCAACCTTCGGATTGTTTGTCCGACAGGTACCCGACTGAACTATGTCCACACTGAGAAACTAGAGAAAATTTACCTAGTCATGCCTACACCGTTTCAGAACTGAACGAAAAGGTGATGGACACTTACGAAGGTTACGGGTAGGCATGGTGTCCCGTGACTTTCATCCACAGACACTTACGAGTGATCCTGATGCCATTGGCACACTCGTCCCGTAATCTACAAGATACCAAGTGTTGAGGAATGAGCTGATATGGTGCAAACTGAAAACGGCTCCATGCATCACACGTCAAACTCTGGGGTAACATGGTATTTAATGATTTTTGTGCAGAAAAGTGTGGTAGGGAACACTGTAAGGATAATGGGGATAATAGTAAGGAAGGAGGGAAGAATAACCATGGCTAGTGACGACATGAGGGTGAGTTTGCTTTTGAATCAGTACTGAAAAAATGTAGCGGGTGAAAGTGGCTTGTGTGAATGTTCCAGGAGTTTCCAGCAGCCAAAATATTTGACACTAAACCATTTCATCCTTTTTTCCTCACATTTTTGTGTGAAAAATATTAGGTCCTGCTATAGAATCTATAATAGCCACTAAACGTGTACCTAACCCTAATGATCATAAAGCTAGGGTTGATTGATCGTAAAGGGGATCCAAGGGCTAAGGACCGAGTTCGGGTAATCTATTAGCTACAAAACAGGTACCTAACCCTTATGATAGTAAAGGGGATCCAAGGGCTGAGGATAGAGTTCGGGGTAACCTACCCTAACACCAGAGACATTTGGATGTGTTCAGTGCCAATATAATATACCTAATAAACTGCATTCCGGTGCATAATAATGAAAATTAATGAATCGAAATAATAATGTATCGATATTAGTTCCCATTTATAATCATTTCAGCCTTAGAATTACGAAAAAGACGAAATAACAAATATATTGAAAATAAAAGTGCTTTCATAAGCGCTTGCTATAAAATGCGCCGCTACAGATTATATTTAGTAAACAAATATTCGAAACTCTCAACATCACTGGGCGTATTCAATAACATTTGTGTGTAGAGATGATAGATCACTGGGAGGAGCTTATGCACACTCAATGACCGCCGACGTCACAGAGCATTGTTTTGCCGGTGTGACTGGCAACAAAATACCACAAATTACGTCATAGGGTATTGACATGTGTTTGAAAAGTTTGTGGTTCTGTATTCTAAGGGTAGGCTGATATGATTCACATAAAGCATGATTGAATGTTTGGTATCTCTGCACATTGACAAGGTTTTCGTCGTCAAATGCTACTAGCCTACATATTAGCTCTCCACTGATCAGGTTAGAATACATTTGGAGTATGCCACACTTGTAAGAGCTGACTAATATCATGTCTTGAAGTAAGAGCTTGGTCCCTGCATGTACCTTCTTTATTCATCCTCTTTGGTTGTGTCAAACTTCGGATAACTGGAATGATTTACATAGGTCCTCTCAACTTCGACACAACAGTGTATCATTGTGTGTCACCTTACCCTGACTGCATGGGATGTTGCTCATAATATCAACCACTGGTTCTGTTTCAGTCTTGATTATTACAGGTTGCTATGATAGAGCTGGATATTATGCTGATTGATTATGGCACTATACTAAACACTGTGTCTGATAAACCACGTTCTGGCCAACTAATGTCAATTGAAGTCCCAAGAGATGTTTTGAAAATTTGATAAATTGTAGCATGAGAGAGTCAGTTTAAGGAAACAATGTATAAGCATGTCTAACAAATGTATGTTAAATATTTTGCCTGAATAAAAAATTTCCATTCGCTATATTAACATAATTGAAAGTGGATTAATAATTTTGAATACAATTTTGGAACATTTTGTATATTTTGAAGTATTTATAATTACATGTAATTTCTGTGTATTTGACTCAATAATTTCCTCAAATACTGCATTTTTGATGACTGAGGCGATAAACATGATAAATTACTGACTACAATATTAAGTTTATCCATCTAACCTGAGGGCGGTCGGGTAGCCTAGTGGTTCAAGCGTTCGCTCGTCACGCCGAAGACCCGGGTTCGATTCCCGACATGGGTACAATGTGTGAAGCCCATTTCTGGTGTCCCCAGCCGTGATATTGCTGGAATATTGCTAAAAGCGGCATAAAACCATACTCACTCACTCACCCATCTAACCTGAGCCTTCAGGTTTGCCTGCACTGGATCATGGCTCATGTGGATTCTAATAATGCCAGGGTTAGAAACTAACAGTTTTCGTCTACTAGTTCTTATAATGATAACATATAGCAAAACCCTTAAAAAGGGCAAATTTCTACTAGTCCTTATGATACCTTTACCATTGGGCAGTTTGGCAAGGACTTTCGGACTAGTGCCAATTTCTAACGCTGTAATGCATTCTTTGTACTTTCTTAGATGACACTCACTGCATGGACTATGTAAATGCATAAATTGATAGAAAAAACAACAGTAAGATCATAACTGTATTTGTGTAAAGAAAGTCATGACTCCCAAATATTGAAAATTATCCCACCCACCCAAACTTGTGTCAGATTTAATATATTGCCCTAGCTCAAGAATTCTGACACTTGTATTGTAAAATCAATATGACACATATATAATAATCTCTATAAATGAGCTGGTGTTTTCAAGAAGTGTCGACTTTGTGTTTTAGATTTAAAGGCGTTTGAGAGGAGGCTGACAGAAGTCATAGATAAGCTTCAGCCCGCAGCAAGGTTCTGGAGAAGTAAGTACAGTCTGAGATTGGAGTAATGATGTCGACAGCGATATATGAGAGTGGCTGAAAAGTTCAGAGCCAAACTACAAAGAATGTACAGTACACCCTTAACAGTTCACATGTGTTATGGACAGTACTTTCAAAGCTTACAGGCTGCAAATGAACCAAATACGCAATCAGGAGTTCAAGAGGGGAAGAAAGCCTCGTAGATGATTCAAGGTCAGGAAGACCAACAACTGCCACCACTAAGGTTACTGTTGATAAAATACATGATTTGATCATGGATGATTGCACTTGGACCACATGTCTCGTAGCCAGTACAGTAGGCATCTCCCATCACATTCCTCAGGAATAAACTGAGGGTATGACAAAGAATGGGGTGCAGGCTAAAACGGCACCTCAGCAAAAAGTTGCTGATTTCTCGGGCTAAAAGGACACCTCCTTTTGCAAAACGCCTACTAATTGTTGGGCTAAAACAGCACCTCTATTTTTAAAAACAATAAGAACAATTTATGTAGTGGTATATATGCTTTATTTACATTCTTTATTATGTTATGTTGTAGTATATATGTTTTCCTTGGGTGGGACACCGTCTGTTATCCGAAGAAACATTCTTGTGATGTCGGCTGCCAGCAAAAAGGGGAGATATATGTGAAATAACTATAAAATTACTATTTCTTTCCTACTTACTAAAATAAATATTAAATATAAAGTATACCTGTAGTCCAATTTCTTGACATTTCCGCCAGACTCAGTTTCAGCTTGACATTGACTGATGATTGAGTTACTTTGAGTAAAGGTACTTAAAACTTCAAAGCATGTGATGTTTCAACGATAAGTTTAGTTGCGCCTCCCAGTCAGAGTCGGGGTGTAAATTGGAGTAGAGGCTAATTTCTAATGTAAACTTGTTTTAAGACGATTAACATTTCACAGTTATTTGTGTTTGCAAGTGACCATGTGAGTTTAATTTCATATATTTTACTTCAAAGCATGTAATGTTTTCACAATAAGTTTAGTTGTGCCTTCAAATCAGAGTCGGCGAAAAGAGGCAGGTTTCTAATGTAAACTATTTTTAACATTTCATAGTTATTTGTGTTTGCAAGTGACCATGTGAGTTTTATTTCATGTATTCAGTACCAAGGTAAAAAAATTTATAAGGTGCCGTTTTCGCCAGGCAGTAGTAGCTGTTTTCATTTCAGACGAGGTGCCATTTTCGCCAATAGGTGCCATTTTGCTGAGGGGCCGTTTTAGCTACAACCCCAAAGAATGCAGTGAGCAGTTGTGCGGCATATTTCAAAATCATTTTCAAGCTTCATTAGATTACCATCACATTCCTCTCTTATGGAGAAGTTATAACTTTGTACCTGTTCCCCAAAAGCTAAACCCAACTGTACACAATGTACGCCTGTGGCTTTTACTTCAATAGCTATGAAATGCCTTGAACACCGACTGCTTGATGTCATCAAGAGATTGTTATTTGTCAAAGTTCTGCATATTCTGGAGCTTGGTAATTTGCATATAGGCCCAACAGGGGATGCAACACAGACTCTCCTGCATAAAATCTACAGCCATCTGGTTAACAGTAAATTACATGTAAAAATATTGTTCGATGATTTTTCACCCGCTTTCAATACCATAGAGCATCACAGTCACTTACTTATGCAAAACCTTAACACCATGAGTGTTTAACTCAATGTTGTCAAATGGGTTAAGTCTTTTATTGTAAACAGGCCACAGTTCATCACCATTAACCCGCTCACCTCTTATTTGCACTTGTACAGGGGCCCTCAAGGTCACGTTATCTTGCCCATTTTATTCATTTTGTACACTGATGACTGTATCAGCCGTTTTGTTAATTGTTTTACTGTAAAACTTGCAGATGACGCTGCACTTGCAGGTCTTATCAAAGATTTGAGTACAGAAATTTCTAATTTTATATCCTGGTGTAAGGATGGTTGTCTGTTTTTAAGTATCAAGAACACAAAGGAAATGGTCATAGAGTTTAGGAAAGATAACTCCTGTTATAATCCGCTTGTTAATGATAATGTGGTAATAGAAGTTGTAGATAAGTATAAATATCTGGGCACTGTCATTGATTCAAAACTCACATAGGATGCAAATCAAATATTATCTTGTGCCACATTTAATGCTAATTCGGTTTGTGATGCTCTTATTTATTTGTATGTGTGTTTATCAATAAGCTGAGATCTTGTGCTGATTTAACCCAAATTTCCTTCGGGATAATAAAGTCTCATCTTACAAAGGTTTCATCATCCAAGTTCAATGACTTTACATTGTTTTGAAGCAGTCCCAGCTTACTTTGTTCAGCAATTTGTAACACTGGATGAGTCTTGGATTCACCACTATCAGACAGAGACTAAACAACAGTCAAAGCAGTGGAAACATCTAACGTCTCCTCTGAAGAAGAAGGCAAAGTCTGTTCAGGGTGATGGCTTCGGACAATGCACTTGTGCACGTCTGTTGTCACCATGGCTGCAATGCCTGACTGTGGCTTTGAACTCACTGAATTTCCTCTGTATTAACTAGATTTCCACCAGCAGAATTCCGTGTCTTCCCAAACTTGTGGAGGGTTTTTTTCCATCGCCTTTATAATACTATCACACCAAAGTAGTTCTATCCCGTTCTACCCTAGTAGTAGAACACGTAGTTTGGCGTAAAATACGATGCTAGTTCGTTCATAAGCAGTCCTCAATACATCTATCTCATTCTTACCCAGTCTGCAGTCCGTTTGTATCCAGTTCAGATTGTGTAAAAGTGCCCGTTCACCTCATCCCGACAATGTTTCGAAGCAGTTCAAGCACGTCCATAGCCATTCTGAACCCGTTCTTAACCAGTTCAACCCTGTTCAACCCCGTTCTACCTCAAACACAATATGTCCAAGCCAGTTCTAACTAATTCATGGCCTGACGCCTATTGATACCAAGCTCGTTGTAGCCAGTCTTCATTCAAGTTCAGGGCTCCGAGCTGTACACATCATGCCTTCAAAGAGAAGTCGACCCGATCAGTATGCACACGTACTGAAATTTATGTCCGACTGCACCACGTCGTAACACGTCCCTAGTAGGTTCGAAGTACGGCAATTCCGTTCGTATTATGTCTTTCTTGTTTTAAGTACGTTGTCAATCCAACTAATTGCAGAACGGGATGGACAGGATAAAATTTTGAGCACCCTCCCCGTCTGAGCCCATCCATGAAGTTCGTAAAAAGACTGTCAATAGTTGCTACTGCGTCCACTACGTTCATACACTTGGAGCTTGTTCGACAACATTACTTTTCTCAATGTATTGAGAACTAGTTTGGTGTGATGGGGGTATAACACCAGTGGGACCCAGGCACTCCAGCATGGTTAGCAGAAGACTTCGGATAAAATTACTTTGAAAAATAATAAGCAACCGTCTTATGATACACCAGCCTTGGGTTTTCCTGTCTTATGATACACAAGCCCTGGGTTAACCTGTCTTGTTGTGAATCCTGGGTTGACTCAGTAACAGTTGTGAAGGGTCCCAGGCTCTCATGTTTATACACAATGTGTTCTTATACATTATAAATACATGTATATATATATGTGTGACGTCAGACGGTGAGTGCACGAGGAATGACGTAATACATTGTGCACCTCGGCATGCAGTTATCATATACACGGCGGAACAAGCCGATTAAACTTGGAACGTTTTACAAATTGCAGCGCCATCTGGCGTTCTTTATTGTCCACTGCTTTCGTGCTGAGTGACGTTCTTTATTAAAAACGTCCTTTCGTGCTCACGGACGTTCTTTCGTACACATTGTTCTTTCTTTTCTTATGACGTCTTTTCGTAACATTTGACTATTAATATTGCGTACTTTGTATGTTTAACCCTCGTCTGTTTGTTTTGTATTTTGACCTTTAGTAGTAATATTTAGTTCTTTATTCGTAATATTTGACCTTAATTGCATACTTTTGTCCTTTTTTTAACTTTGTATTTTTGACCGAATATAATTCTGTGAAAGCTTACTGCAAAATTGCTTATAATATCCATCATTGGAGATTGTCAATTATATACTGGCCTCATGTAGCTAGATTACAGGTGAGTGCAACGTTAAGCAACAAAAAATAAAGTTTTTAAAATTAGGATTATCCAAGTGAATTGTTTCCCCTCCCCCGAGTTGTGACAAGTTACCTTACATACTACTATTACCCACAATGTATTTCATGTGAAAATGTACCAAATGGCTTGTTATTTATATGAAGAGGCATGAAATGTCACATTCAATTCTTTATTACATCATGAACTGTGGATGACATCTGCAATTATGCATAGTCATAATGTTGTTTTAAGTCCACTTTTCAAATAATCTTAACAATCAGTAGGCTCGGGTAAGACAATCAGCGCTCAGGTATGATTATGTTTATCATCAAAAACTGGCTCCCACAGGGGATATGGCTTGGGTGAGATCAAGTGATATCGCTGCAATGAAATTGCATCACAATCCTTTGCAGACTATTGTGACATCATTGGTTACCATGACGTGACAATCAAATGACATCACTTATGGCTCTGCTACTGAAGCTGTTAGCAGTACTTTTTACACTTAAGACACAGTTTTTCCACTTTTATCAACTTGTGTTGATATATTTGGTATCAAAAGACACTTGGGTGAGATTCTTCACATCTCAGTTAGACCATCCTTGATTATCAACTTCAAGCGTACTGTATTGCTATTCTATTCTGGGTCTGGTTGGAATGACTCAATGCTGAAAAAGGGATGATGATTGAAACAAGCAGCTATATGATTAGCATTTCCCATCTCACTTACAGCAAGGTGCGGCTGGTAGCAGAAGGACTTCCCACACCCTGCCTTTATACTCAGGAAGACATCTTTTCCAGCCCCATGTTTGTTTAGAGTCTTCTCATTTGTTGTAAACTGAATAACTTATTTACTTTATCAAGGGCTTTATCATGATATGTAAGTAACGTGCTGTGATCAAGCCCTGTGGAGAGCTAGTGATACAGTCACTTTGATGTATAAATATGTATTGCCATGCACCTCACTGTAGCAGTTGTAGTAGCATATCTAAATGATTATGCAAAACAATATGTAAAGCGCCCCAAATGGCTCGCTTTAGCCAAATCTGTTCTGATTTCAGGGTAAGAGCGTTTGTTAATAAACAAGAGGCAGTCTGGTCACATGATATGCAAATGAGCCTGTAGCAGTGGTGTTATGCAAAGTCACCACTGCACCGGAGTGTGCTTCTAAACAAGGTTGTGGAACAAAACATATTAAGAAATAATATGTATTGTAATGACAAGAAGTGTATTGGTACCTACATCATGTTGTAATGTTAAAGGTGCCTGTGACTAGCCTTACTGTAGTCCCATTGACTATACTGAATCATTGATGGTCATTGTGTGTTTCAGTCATCCTGATCTTCATCTCCGTGTGTACAGCAGTAGGGGCATGGACGTGGCTCTGGGACCCCCTCACACCTCAGGTGGGCACTGGCACTTACAGGGGAACAGGGGATGTTGGTGTTGGCAGCAATGTCACAACTACTGGGCTGTAATTGATGATAACAGTGTCAGCTTGTCCTCAGACTGGCAAAATCTAAACAAATGGAGTTGAAGGCAAACTTGTCCAAAAGTTTATAGCACAATATTGCCAACCTTGTGAGAATCAGAACAGGTCCCACGTACCCCATAGATGTCCCAAGTACCCCATAGATGTCCCAAGTACCTCATAGTTGTCCCAAGTACCCCATAGTTGTCCCAAGTACCCCATAGCTGTCCCAAGTAACCCATAGATGTCCCAAGTACCCCATAGCTGTCCCAAGTAACCCATAGATGTCCCAAGTACCCCATAGTTGTCCCAAGTACCCCATAGTTGTCCCAAGTACCCCATAGCTTTCCCAAGTACCTCATAGTTGTCCCAAGTAACCCATAGTTGTCCCAAGTACCTCATAGCTTTCCCAAGTACCTCATAGTTTTCCCAAGTACCCCATAGTTGTCCCAAGTACCCCATAGATGTCCCAAGTACCTCATAGTTGTCCCAAGTACCTCATAGCTTTCCCAAGTACTTCATAGTTTTCCCAAGTAACCCATAGTTGTCCCAAGTACCCCATAGCTGTCCCAAGTACCCCATAGCTTTCCCAAGTACCCCATAGTTGTCCCAAGTACCCCATAGTTGTCCCAAGTACCCCATAGTTGTCCCAAGTAACCCATAGTTGTCCCAAGTAACCCATAGTTGTCCCAAGTACCCCATAGCTTTCCCAAGTACCCCATAGTTGTCCCAAGTACCCCATAGCTGTCCCAAGTACCCCATAGTTGTCCCAAGTACCCCATAGTTGTCCCACGTACCCCATAGTTGTCCCAAGTACCCCATAGCTGTCCCAAGTACCTCATAGCTTTCCCAAGTACCCCATAGCTGTCCCAAGTACCCCATAGTTGTCCCAAGTAACCCATAGTTGTCCCAAGTACCCCATAGCTTTCCCAAGTACCCCATAGCTGTCCCAAGTAACCCATAGTTGTCCCACGTACCCCATAGCTTTCCCAAGTACCTCATAGTTGTCTCACGTACCCCATAGTTGTCCCAAGTCGCCCATAGTTGTCCCAAGTACCCCATAGTTGTCCCAAGTACCTCATAGTTGTCCCAAGTAACCCATAGTTGTCCCACGTACCTCATAGTTGTCCCAAGTACCCCATAGTTGTCCCAAGTACCTCATAGTTGTCCCAAGTACCCCATAGTTGTCCCAAGTACCTCATAGTTGTCCCAAGTAACCCATAGTTGTCCCACGTACCTCATAGTTGTCCCAAGTACCTCATAGTTGTCCCAAGTACCCCATAGTTGTCCCACGTACCTCATAGTTGTCCCAAGTACCTCATAGTTGTCCCACGTACCCCATAGTTGTCCCACGTACCTCATAGTTGTCCCACGTACCCCATAGTTGTCCCAAGTACCTCATAGTTGTCTCACGTACCCCATAGTTGTCCCAAGTACCCCATAGTTGTCCCAAGTACCCCATAGTTGTCCCAAGTACCTCATAGTTGTCCCAAGTACCCCATAGTTGTCTCACGTACCCCATAGTTGTCCCAAGTAACCCATAGTTGTCTCACGTACCCCATAGTTGTCCCAAGTACCCCATAGTTGTCCCAAGTACCTCATAGCTTTCCCAAGTACCTCATAGTTGTCCCAAGTACCCCATAGTTGTCCCAAGTACCCCATAGTTGTCCCAAGTACCTCATAGTTGTCCCACGTACCCCATAGTTGTCCCACGTACCCCATAGTTGTCCCAAGTACCCCATAGTTGTCCCAAGTACCCCATAGTTGTCCCAAGTACCCCATAGATGTCCCAAGTACCCCATAGTTGTCCCAAGTACCCCATAGTTGTCCCAAGTACCCCATAGTTGTCCCAAGTACCCCATAGTTGTCCCAAGTACCCCATAGTTGTCCCAAGTACCCCATAGTTGTCCCAAGTACCTCATAGCTTTCCCAAGTACCTCATAGTTGTCCCAAGTACCCCATAGTTGTCCCAAGTACCCCATAGTTGTCCCAAGTACCCCATAGCTGTCCCAAGTAACCCATAGTTGTCCCACGTACCCCATAGTTGTCCCAAGTACCCCATAGATGTCCCACGTACCTCATAGTTGTCCCAAGTACCTCATAGCTTTCCCAAGTACTTCATAGTTTTCCCAAGTACCCCATAGCTGTCCCATGTACCCCATAGCTGTCCCAAGTAACCCATAGTTGTCCCAAGTACCCCATAGTTGTCCCAAGTACCCCATAGATGTCCCACGTACCTCATAGTTGTCCCAAGTACCTCATAGCTTTCCCAAGTACTTCATAGTTTTCCCAAGTACCCAATAGCTGTCCCAAGTACCCCATAGATGTCCCACGTACCTCATAGTTGTCCCAAGTACCTCATAGCTTTCCCAAGTACTTCATAGTTTTCCCAAGTACCCCATAGCTGTCCCAAGTAACCCATAGTTTTCCAAAGTACCTCATAGTTGTCCCAAGTAACCCATAGATGTCCCAAGTACCTCATAGTTGTCCCAAGTACCTCATAGTTGTCCCAAGTACCTCATAGTTGTCCCAAGTAACCCATAGCTGTCCCAAGTAACCCATAGTTTTCCCAAGTACCTCATAGTTGTCCCAAGTAACCCATAGATGTCCCAAGTACCTCATAGTTGTCCAAAGTACCTCATAGTTGTCCCAAGTACCTCATAGTTGTCCCAAGTAACCCATAGTTGTCCCAAGTAACCCATAGTTGTCCCACGTACCCCATAGCTGTCCCAAGTACCCCATAGTTGTCCCAAGTACCCCATAGTTGTCCCAAGTACCCCATAGTTGTCCCAAGTACCTCATAGTTGTCCCAAGTACCTCATAGTTGTCCCAAGTACCCCATAGTTGTCCCAAGTACCTCATAGTTGTCCCAAGTAACCCATAGTTGTCCCAAGTACCCCATAGTTGTCCCACGTACCCCATAGTTGTCCCAAGTACACCATAGTTGTCCCAAGTAGCCCATAGTTGTCCCAAGTACCCCATAGTTGTCCCAAGTAACCCATAGTTGTCCCAAGTACCTCATAGTTGTCCCAAGTACCCCATAGTTGTCCCAAGTACCCCATAGTTGTCCCAAGTACCCCATAGTTGTCCCAAGTAACCCATAGTTGTCCCAAGTACCTCATAGTTGTCCCAAGTACCCCATAGTTGTCCCAAGTAACCCATAGTTGTCCCAAGTACCCCATAGTTGTCCCACGTACCCCATAGTTGTCCCAAGTAACCCATAGTTGTCCCAAGTACCCCATAGTTGTCCCAAGTACCCCATAGTTGTCCCAAGTACCCCATAGTTGTCCCAAGTACCCCATAGTTTTCCCAAGTACCCCATAGCTGTCCCAAGTACTTCATAGTTGTCCCAAGTACCTCATAGCTTTCCCAAGTACCCCATAGTTGTCCCAAGTAGCCCATAGGTATCGGTTACCCAGTATGATGTACATTGTTGCAGGTATCGGTTACCCAGTATGTTGTACATTGTTAGAGGTATAAGTTACCCAGTATGTTGTACATTGTTTCAGGTATCAGTTACCCAGTATGTTGTACATTGTTGCAGGTATCAGTTACCCAGTACATTGAAATTTGTTGCAGTTATCAGTTACTCAGTCTGTTGTACATTGTTGCAGATATTGGTTACCCAGTATGTTGTACATTGTTACAGGTATAAGTTACCCAGTATGTTGTACATTGTTTCAGGTATCGGTTACCCAGTATGATGTACATTGTTTCAGGTGTCGGTTACCCAGTATGATGTACATTGTTGCAGGTATCGGGTACCCAGTATGATGTACAATGTTTCAGGTATCAGTGACCCAGTATGATGTACATTGTTGCAGGTATCAGTTACCCAGTATGATGTACATTGTTTCAGGTATCAGTTACCCAGTATGATGTACATTGTTGCAGGTATCAGTTACCCAGTATGATGTACATTGTTTCAGGTATCAGTTACCCAGTATGATGTACATTGTTTCAGGTATCAGTTACGCAGTATGATATACATTGTTGCAGGTATCAGTTACCCAGTATGATGTACATTGTTTCAGGTATCAGTTACCCAGTATGATGTACATTGTTTCAGGTATCAATTACCCAGTATGATGTACATTGTTTCAGGTATCAGTTACCCAGTATGATGTACATTGTTGCAGGTATCAGTTACCCAGTATGATGTACATTGTTGCAGGTATCGGTTACCCAGTATGTTGTACATTGTTGCATGTATCAGTTACCCAGTACCTTGTACATTGTTGCAGGTATCGTTCATATTGTACATTATGTTCCAGGTATCGTTCACCCAGTCTCTGCTGAACCACCCATTCTTCACCATCAGCTGCCTCATCCTCGTCATGCTCTTCCTCTGGGGCATCCACAAGCGAGTGGTGGCACCATCAATGTATCCTTCAGCTAGCTCATGGCTTATTATAGGGTTTTTGGGGTAGGAAAAATCATTACCCGTTTTGGACTCGTGTATCGTGATATGTAAATTGATACAACATTCACCATATTTATCAACAACAAATCTGCTTGTTGCTTGTATCAATTGCCTACAAAATAAAGTTGCAAACTCAAACAGGACACCAAATATTCCCACAAAAGACAATGTCAACTAGCACACACTGCTGACAAAGTCAAAGGCTTAGCAAAACGAAGGGAGGCAACTCAGGCTAAATAGTTCATGCAAGGGAAGTAATATGCACAGATAAAACATAAGTTGTTTTGTCTTGTCTGTGTTTAATTGAATATGATTTATAAAGTCCCAAATGGCAAGTATAAAGGTCACATTACCTTTTTTAGGTTTTTATCTTTAAATCAAACACACTATAAACTTCAAACTTGGTTGTCAGTTTAGTTAATAAACTATACAAGTCACAAAATATGTTTTGATTTCTAAACACCGTTTTACTGGGTTTAAGACAAGTATAAAAAAGTTAACATTGCCAAAGCTCTACTAATAATTTCTGATTTGTTTTACTGTAAGGAATGACTTAATTAAATTATCATAAAGACAAGCACATGAAAACCTCGCAAGTAACTTTTGACATTAGGGGAGTACATGATTCATTATGATTGACACTAATTTTTAAGAGAAATACTGTTATATTTGTTATAATTTGAGAAACTGAGACGCATTGGGATTTGAACGGTTTTGATTACAGGTTACAGCAAGACATTTCCTGTCTTCTGCCATGTTGATAATAATTATAACATGAAAATGTATGTGACTAATGTATTTGTTGGGTTATGTGTAATGTTACCCGTTTGGTATAAAACATAACTTGCAGTCTTTGGTGGAAATCGCCTTTCCTCTCTGATGTCAATACCCATTGCAGAGATTTATACAGGCACTAAGTAAAAGGGGCATAACTCTGCTAAGCTTAACTGAAGATCATTGGATTTTTTTAATATGCTTGGGATCACAACAATATATTTTTGTATTGTATTGTCACCATGCTATCCCGACGCAAATGTCAACATTGCAACCATATTCATTATGGTCTTTTCAAAAATCATAAGACATCTTGAAATGGTAGTATATTTAAGAAAACTTGAATGTATGACCCTCTAAAACATGCCCTCTCACTAACTGTGTAAGTCTCATCGTAAAATTTTAAGAAATGAAGAAAATTTGAATACTTTTATGTCATAACCTCATAAGATAAAAATTTATTGCATAAAATTTTATTTCGAGCTATGTAAGAAATACCGTGAATAAACATAAAATGAAAATATTTCAAAACATAACATTATATTTTTTTAACAGACATGCTTGTATTTCTACATTATTATATAACTATATCAGGAATTTCTTTCTCCAAAAACATCCTTTTTGTTCGCCTATAGTTATCATTAAAATTAAAGCATTATCAATTTTCTTCACATGTTCGGTTTATTTTAATTAGAAATAAAACAAAATGTTTTTTCATTAACCTGTTTATATGAAATTACCAGGATGAACTTACTCTGTGAAACAAAGTTCTAGAGAAGAGTAGGTTATCATAAGATTCATTACTTCTGTTGCATGTGATATTAAATTCTTGTAGTATACTTTTGTATAATCAGCGTTCAATCAGCAAACAAGTGTTGCTTTCGTATTCACACTAGAGTGGATTCTTTTGATTTTGTCTATACAATTTTTGTGACATTTGTCATTTAGTTCTGAAAAATGTAGAATTTAGGGATGCATGAGCAGCCGGTGAGTGTGATTATATGTGATGTAATAAGGATCCAATTACCAGCTTATGACCAGTTTAAACGTGACTTCGTACATGCTATCCAGTATTGAAGAAAGTTCACTTCTGTGTTAATATTTAGGTCTTTTCTGAAACCATCTAAACAAATTTCTGTTTTTTATCTGTGATTTGGCAGAATGATTGTTGGTGTCTTGAAAAAACACAGACACGTGTGATCTTTTATCAGGGAAATGTCAGAACTAGAGATATTTATGGTGTACCTAATGTTGAGAAATTGTTTGCTGTGTTTTGCATTGCCCAAAATGACTGTCAGTGATAGAACAGAACAGATGAAGTGTTGCTCTGTCCACAATTGGGAAGTAGGTATTGGACTTTTGCTCAACTTCAAATTGAGGAGGTCTTGAATAAAGGCAATCGATTTAACCTGCACCAGTGGCATGTTGACATGAAAAGCTAGTTGCACCAGACAATACCAGGTGGCACCCAGGACCCATCAAGTTATCAAAGTTGAAACATTGATGCCTACACTAGTCTAAGTATATACAATCTCAGATGTTGACGACTGGCATGATTTTAATACAGTTAGTACTTACGGTTGCAGTGCTTATTTGGCACTGTCATCAATGACAAGCATCATATAATGCAGGGCCCGATTTAAAGACATTCATTTAACTTGCACCAGTCGTATGTTGACATGACAAGCTAGTTGCACAAGACAACTAGGTTGCACCAAAGTTGAAACATAGATGCATAAATTAATCTAAATAAATAAAATCTCAAATCTCTGATGACTGTCTTGATTTTACATAAATTAAGGAGGTATTGCGGTAACATAAGAGGAACATAGTCTATGTACATAATCTTGCAGCACCCAAGAAACATGACAAATCACACATAACACAGGAATTACTGATGTAGTGTGCTACATGAAGCTTAAAGGTATTGAGTGTGTTGGATGTTGTGTGGAAAAGTAATGGATAGTCAAACACGCTGGTGCTGGTGTTATGGAGCTAAATCTGACCCGGACTTCCAGGGGATTAACTTCTGGTCCTTTGGCCAGTCTCAAGCATATATAACCAAGGGCCTACTGTTGTTTAAAGTCAGGGGCCCCTTCTTTTGTATCATGTATATGGTACTACACAGTATATATTTTTGGAAAGCTAGATCTATCGTTCACTTCCTGGGTTCTTTCTGTTGTGAGATACGCAGGTTACTGTATATCCTTGTCATTTAGTAAGTTCTGTAATACCCAATAATCAACAACTGCTTGCACCCTATTACAGTTATTTCAAACAGTGTGTGTAAAATTATTTGAATATCCAATTTTGGGTTTTTTAAACAAAAATATACTATTAATTGTTTGAATTCAATATAACACATTTTTGGATGCATTTTATGTTCACTAAGACTAGAAATATCAGAAACAAAAACTGCAGACATGGGCGTTTGAACACATTGCATGAACCAAGGCAGCTACAGTAAGGGAGGTAACTCTGCTTGTCTCGGCACCAGCCATGTCACACAAATGCTTCCATCTGGGCCTACATCATCATAATTTATCTGAGACTGGTGGATGAATGCACTGGTGTGTCTCCAGGCCCATTATGCAGGAGCAGGCAGACAGCCCTAGCCATGCTGACAGCTTGTCCTGTGTCAGTCTGCACATACACACACACATAACTTTGGCGTTTCCACTGACTGCCTTTCTTGTTCAGCTTGTGTAGACTGCTTATTGTGCATGCATTTATAATTACGGATAATTTGAATGGTTGTTTATGTTAATCTTGTGTATGTATATTTATGACATACAATGTATAGTTTACTTACTGGTAATTTTTTTGTAATTCACATAAGTATCTTTTGGGGGGCATTATTTATGTTATTATTTTTACAGGAATGTTTTTTATGACAGGTATTTTTTTCCTTATATATATATTTAAGCCATACACAGATGTTTCCTGTCAACAAAATCATTTTGCAAGTTGATATTTTATTTTCAGTTTAAATAATTTAAATTGCTTGGTACCTATATATTATTTTGTTTGAATTTTGTTATTTGATGTATTTATATTAAAGTGAATTTCAGGTTGAGGAAATATTTTTGGTAATTGAGAACACATGTTAATTTCCTTAACTTTCACAGAATTGCTTCCAGATGCCGGCAAGTCCTGGGAGATTATAACATGTCCTGTGATGACGTAAGACTTTTCACCTTTCTTCTCAGTGTCAGTTATGGATGTTGCCTTCACAGTATAGTGTTCTCTGTCTGTGGTTATGCTGTACAGAGAGGAAGCATTAGGAAGGGAAATAAGTGGGTTTTTTAAGAATTGGTTTACAGATCCTCCGACCTTAATTTCACAAATGTGGAATGAAGTTAAAGTTTTGGGAAGAATCAGTTTTGCAAAATCTGTTAACTGGAAAGAAATTTGCTGTATGCCAGTATGGTCAGTGTGTTGAAGTAATCCTTTGGCTAAGATTTGTTTGTCCTTTATTTCCCCTATCAATATCTTTGTGGAATCAATCAGAGAAAAAGATGAATTTTGTTTTTATTTCGGTCAACAACACTATGGCTTTGCAAAGAAAGATCTGGAAAAAACTAATAAAACAGAGGCCTAAATACAATTGTGTAAATAATTTTTATTCTCACAGGAATAGAATGATAGGCATTCAAGTTTATTTTCCAATATTTAAATTATGCTAATTAAGGAGTTGGAATGGAAATTCACTAAACAGCATCAACTAATTATTGAGCAATAAACATTTTTTTTCAGAATATTTTTCACCATTGTTATTGTTTGTATAGCAATGGACATGAAATACATTCTAATGTAGACACTGCAATGGGACAGTTACCTGGTTCTGGGTTTATGTCAAATATGAAACAGAAACAACAATACCGGTACTCAGAACTCAACCATCATGTCTCCAGGAATGAAATAGGAGCCATTTTAAGTGAAAGTGTGCTTTGTCCAGTATGTCTACATAACAACAGTACCTTTATAAAAAACTGTTCCCATTTTATGTATCAAGGAACTCTGTTATTACGGGTTGTGTCATGACTTGCATACCTTACCATCACAATAAAAACAACATGTTAGATCTGATTGCATAATACTATTAGCATGATTTAAACAAGCTTAAATAAACCAGTCATCTTAAACGGAAACAACACTCTAACTCTCAGTTGTCTAGCTGGTGCCATTTTAACTATCCTGCATAATCACCAGATACCAATTATCATCAGTGACCTAACAAACTGGGCTTCGGACATGCAAGGGAGGACCTCGTTGACAGAGGTGGAATCCCCTTGAATCCTTGGATTTGATTGGATGATGCTTACTAAAACCTTTCACCTGGCAAATTTCCTGCCTCTGAGGGTGTCAAGGATATATAGCAGTGGTTCACATTTGGAATTTCTCGTGTTTGCGGTAATTATTTAATCTAAGATTGGGTTATAAATCCAGGTCTGATGTGGTTAATGTATTGCATATTATGTAGTATGCACGTGGCAGTGCAGCAATGGAGGAATTGTTGGTTGAGTTGCAAAAAAATTGAGCAAAGGATAAACCGTTAATATGTTGACGTTAATATGTTGATGTTAATATGTTGATTAATTACTGTAATCTTGCACAGTGGTTTTGTCAAAAGTAAGTGTTTATGTATGTAGGTTTACTGCAGCAGACAGAATACACACATATCTGCCTATGTAAAAACTACATACTTTGTTCAAAGGATTAGTCGATAATACCACGATTGATTGCTCATTGTTATCTACCTCAAGGGATATTTTAACATCATGAAAGACATATAGACATCATGAAATTAGTAGTCACATGTGCTATCTCAGCTGACCAATGAGACTGGACACCTATTTGAAACACCTGAAACAAACTTATGTGATCAGTTGAGAGATGAACACGGGATACTATGTCCTGAAACACTCTATATATTCAAGAAGTAAACGACGAGTGGGAGTTGTTTATCATAGAATGAAACACTGCAGCCCCGAGTGTTTTTTTTATCTCCCTGTAGTGTATAATTGTATGATAAACAACAAGTGGTTTATTCTCCCTGCAGTGTTTTATTGTACAATAAACAATATTGACGGATATTTTCCTTGAACAAGGTGACTTCCTGATTTTATACCTATACATATTTTGGTTGTAATTACAATATTCACTGGGGGCACGGGTGGCCCAGTCGTCTAAGGCGCCGCGATTCGCTGTGCAGAGTTGCGTCCCTTGGGCACGCCAGAAACCTATGATTGTGGGTTCGAATCCCAGTACGCCCCAATTATGTTTCTAGGTTTGTCAGCACCAAAACCCGTGCTCGTGGGTTTCACCGAAGTGGTAAACGTCTGAGACCTGCATCACTTCGGGCTTTCCTCCCACATTAAGCTGACACGCCGTGATATAACTCGAATACTGTTAAAAGCGGCGTTAAACCCAACTCACTCACTCACTACAATATTCATTATTTAATTTTTATTCATTTGCTGTAGCAAGAATGCAGGAGGCCTCTATGTTGACTGGTCAGATTGTTCCAAAACCAGTTGTTCAAAAGTGCTACGCTTATGGTTATTATTATTTTACACATATATAGTAAAAGCTGCCACTAAATAACTTGATATTTGATTATTTTTTTTCTGATGAAATAGTAGTTTCAGGTGCAATTCTTCCAATTATTGCATAAAAGCATTTAAATTCTTTTAAGTTTTATATATATATTTTTTCTTTGACCCGTGAAGATTCCGGGGTAGAATAGGTCTTCAGCAACCCATGTTTGCCGTAAAAGGTGACTATGCTTGTCGTAAAAGGCGACTAAGGGGATCGTGTGGTCAGACTCGCTGACTTGGTTGATGCATGTCATCGATCCTAATTGCGTGGATCGATGCTCATGATATTAATCACTGGATTGTCTGGTCCAGACTCGATTATTTACAGACCGCCCTCATATAGCTGGAATATTGCTGAGTGCGGCGTTAATCAACAAACCAACCAATCTTTCCTTCTTTATTCATCTCAGCGGGTACAGCATATATATACATGTCATGTCAATAAAATTGTGATTTGAAAGTTCACCTGATGCGACCTGTGGATTGGTCCTCAGATGTTCATGCAGAGAGGTGTGGTATCAGATCCAAGATCTGATTTTACTGAGATTGACTTACAAATGTGCTATAGACAATAAGGAAAGAGGAAGTTGATAATTCTTTCTTTATGATTGCAATGAGCGTTGGCACAGTTATGACACAAAGCTGTAGGATGCCTCGTGACCTCTCTTTATTATTTATGCTGTATTGCAATGTAAATGTCAGTCATGCTGTGACATCCTCAATCCACAAGGAACAACTACCACAAAATTCTTTTGTTGAAGAATGTTATTTCTAGATGTTGGTATGTACAGCTGTGCATCCTGTTGTTTAAAACTTCCTTGTCTGATTAAATTAACGTTATATTTAACCAGAATCGCTCAGTACTACCAAGCAATTAACAGAAAGGAAACATGTTAAGGTGGAAAATATTTTTCTGTTTGGCTTCACAAGAACATGAAGAAGCCTGATGGTACCAAACACACCGAGAAGCAGTTAAGGCAGCTACCGCTACATTGTTGTGATGACAATTATTGACCAGGACAGGCTCACTCCCAACACTGTGCACACATATTTGAAACTTTTGGATGAAAATCTAATAATTAGTGTTTCACGGCCTTACGAGCACATGTCGTCTATTGAACTCTTTTCAAGTGTTGTTTTTTTTCACCAAATGACAAGCAATATTTACCATCTGTTGTCATTGATGTGATTCAAAATATTAATTGTTGCCATAAGAGTTTGCTTAAACAGTGACTAGATGATTACATGTGTGTCAGTGTACTCTGATGTTGTTTCTTATGCTATCAGGTCTTGCCTGGATCATTTCCAAACTGAAATAGTATTTCTACATATGTGTGCATATATGAAGTCATTTTGTGAACGAATCTGATGGCTTATGCTTTGATCATTGAAAACATTGTGGCCTCAACAGAAAATCCCTGCTTGAGCTTTAGTATGCTTCATGTAGCCCGCAAGTGAAAATGAAATAAATCCAATTTAATACTAATTATTGTCTATGTTTTTACCTTGCAGACAGGAAAGCTTATTTTGAAGCCTAGGCCATCAACCTGACATAAAGACCTCGCCTAGAGCCAGTGAAGGACTTTCAGTGCAGTACATGTATTATCAGTGCATATCACATCCCTTGCCTGCAGCCAGCATCCATGTCCGGGGCCCATCAACATGAAGTACCTGGCCCTGATTGAGGATACTGAAGCAGCAAGATGAAGGATGATCAGCATCAGTTAACCAGCTGTGTAATTGTTAACTAGGGGGGCAGTTTGTATGGACATTTTAGATTGAATGTGATTGAATGTCCCCTTCATATCTGTATGGACTTGGAGAGGACGCATCACCGTGTTGTGTGGAAACTGAACTGGTTAATATTGGTGGGCAACCAAGTGTGAGGCCATCATGAATCATGAGAAGTGGAATATACACGTATATGTGTTTGGATTTACAGCTCATCATGACATGAGTCATACTGTCATTAGTATTCTTTCAATAAATGAAATGACCTGAAATTAAACCAACTGATAGATCCAGAGAAGGCTGAGTTAGGGACATAACACACACTATGTACTGGTACATGACCTAGCCACGGCATGAGCTAGCAGCATAACACACACTATGTACATGATCTAGCCACAGCATGAGTTAGGGACATAACACACACTATGTACATGATCTAGCCACAGCATGAGTTAGGGACATAACACACACTATGTACATGATCTAGCCACGGCATGAGTTAGGGACATAACACACACTAGGTACATGATCTAGCCACAGCATGAGTTAGGGACATAACACACACTAGGTACATGATCTAGCCACAGCATGAGTTAGGGACATAACACACACTATGTACATGATCTAGCCACAGCATGAGTGAGGGACATAACACACACTATGTACATGATCTAGCCACAGCATGAGTTAGGGACATAACACACACTAGGTACATGATCTAGCCACAGTATGAGTTAGGGACATAACACACACTATGTACATGATCTAGCCACAGCATGAGTTAGGGACATAACACACACTATGTACATGATCTAGCCACGGCATGAGTTAGGGACATAACACACACTAGGTACATGATCTAGCCACAGCATGAGTTAGGGACATAACACACACTAGGTACATGATCTAGCCACAGCATGAGTTAGGGACATAACACACACTAGGTACATGATCTAGCCACAGCATGAGTTAGGGACATAACACTATGCGTATCCAGACACTTACAACAGAAGCAGGATGTGCCATTGTGCACCAAAAAGGGAATGACTGTTTGATATTCTTATGGGAGGTGGACTTGGATTTTGCATATGTCAACCAAATATTTTATATTTTTCAGCCACAGCTGTAAAACCAGATTAAAAAAATTTAAACTATGAGCCTAATTATTTTTTTGCAATCTGGGACAATATATTATTTTTCTTATAACCCCCCAAATATCTAAAGGTTGGTCCTTAATGGTATGAACATTTTAAGATGTATCAGTTTGTATGTCGTATCCCTTTGTAATGTAATATCTGCACAGCATAAGTTGTGTTAGTGTGGCACTGTGTGTCATGCTTATTGGATGATGGATGTATGATGAGGAATTCAGCATTGCATCCTAATGCAGTTCTTCTGTGTATTTACAGTGTGTGTGGGATACTAAGGGGTGCTTTCAGTCTAATAGTCTGTCTGGTAAATGTGAGATCCACATCTACATTTGCTTCCTCTTCATGTACAAGTCTGCAGTCCGAGCTAGATATAGGCTCCATCAACAGAAGCTTTCTGCCCTATTCACACCTAGTCCACAAGGGTAAGACTCAAGTTTCGGCCGATGGATGGTAGCAGCCTGTACAATTGAACTAAACCTCACAATTTCTGAAAATTAGACTAACCCCTTCATTTCAGTCATGCATCATTTGACATCTCAGAGAATTAAATAAAAAAAAATGTACATACTTCATGTGAAATGTGTTTCTATTTTTTTTGTATCACTGTTGCTGGCTAATCTTGCTGAAATCGTATCTTTTACTCAGATTTGATACCTCTCTGTTTGAAGATCTGAGAACACTTCCAAATAATAGGGGGCATGGGTGGCCCAGTCTTCACTGTGCAGAGTTATGTCCCTTGGGCGTGCCAGAAACCTATGATAGTGGGTTTGAATCCTGGTTCACCCCGATTATGTTTCTAGGTTTGTCAGCGCCATACCCGTGCTCGTGGGTTTCACCGAAGTGGTAAACGTCTGAGACCTGCATCACTTCGGGCTTTCCTCCCACATTAAGCTGACACGCCGTGATATAACTGGAATACTGTTAAAAGCGGGGTTAAACCCAACGCACTCACTCACTCACTCCAAATTAAAGGAGGAGGTGTCTGTGAACTTTTTAATCTGCCAATTTGCACCATTTTTCTAAATTCTTGTCCAAGCATGTCTGCTCTGAATGCAAAAACATGAAGCTGTTTATTTGTTTTCTGTGCAGGTTTACTTTTGCTCAATCCAAATTCCCAATTTTAGATTGAAAAGAAAGCAGATATTTGATTGTCTCAAGGACCCACACACCCTTCCTTTTTATTGGGTGGTCACATTTGACTCGAGGGCTCACCTGATGACTTAATGTGGAGATGCATATATCTACTAAGGGGTATTCTGGTCCGTTTCACGCATGAATATCAGATTTACTCCACTTTAAAACATGTCAAGTGTTTGAGACTTTTGGAACTATGATCTGTCATCCCGTGACTGCTGATGTCCTCTGGTAGTCTTGGACGGTGAACTTGTCATCTTTGTTTCGAGGGGTGCAAGTTCTGCAGTGGGCGCGCTCTTGTATTATTCAGTTGCACTAGAATAGTGTGACATGTTGCAACAGAATCGGCTTTCAGGGAGCCTCACAGTAACTGTGTCACATGCTGGTACTCATCATCATTTAAACAGGCTCACAAATTGTATGACGTCTTTTTCATACATTCACTGCTTTAAAGAATACTAATATACTCACAACATTTTTTTATCAACAATGTTATGATGCAACATGTGACACATATTGGTTACAATGTTGTGTTATCATGTCACTTCCAGCCAGAGTAACAGTGTCATGTCACTTCCAGCCATTGTAACAGTGTCATGTCACCTCCATCCACTGTAACAGTGTCATGTCACTTCCAGCCAGAGAAACAGTGCCAAGTCACCTCCAGCCGTTGTAACAGTGTCATGTCAATCCCAGCAATTGTAACAGTGTCATGTCACTTCCAGCCATTGTAACAGTGTCATGTCAATTCCAGCCATTGTAACAGTGTCATGTCACTTCTAGCCATTGTAACAGTATCATGTCAATCCCAGCAATTGTAACAGTGTCATGTCACTTCGAGCCATTGTAACAGTGTCATGTCAATTCCAGCCATTGTAACAGTGTCATGTCACTTCCAGCCATTGTAACAGTGTCATGTCAATCCCAGCCATTGTAACAGTGTCAAGTTACTTCCAGCCATTGTAACAGTGTCATGTCACTTCCAGCCATTGTAACAGTGTCATGTCACTTCCAGCAAGAGAAACAGTATCATGTCACTTCCAGCCAGAGAAACAGTGTCATGTCACTTCCAGCCATTGTCACAGTGTCATGTCACTTCCAGCCAGAGAAACAGTGTCATGTCACTTCCAGCCAGAGAAACTGTGTCATGTCACTTCCAGCCATAATAACAGTGTCATGTCACTTCCAGCCGTAAAAACAGTATCTATCAATTCCAGCCATTGTAACAGTGTCATGTCACCTCCAGCCAGAGTAACAGTGTCATGTCACTTCCAGCCATTGTAACAGTGTCATGTCACTTCCATTCATTGTAACAGTGTCATGTCACTTCCAGCCATTGTAACAGTGTCATGTCACTTCCAGCCAGAGAAACAGTGTCATGTCACTTCCAGTCATTGTAACAGTGTCATGTCACTTCCAGCCATTGTAACAGTATCATGTCAATTCCAGCCATTGTAACAGTGTCATGTCACTTCCAGCCATTGTAACAGTGTCATGTCACTTCCAGCCATTGTAACAGTGTCATGTCACCTCTAGCCAGAGTAACAGTGTCATGTCACTTCCAGCCATAATAACAGTGTCATGTCACTTCCAGCCATTGTAACAGTATCATGTCAATTCCAGCCATTGTAACAGTGTCATGTCACTTCCAGCCATTGTAACAGTGTCATGTCACTTCCAGCCATTGTAACAGTGTCATGTCACCTCCAGCCAGAGTAACAGTGTCATGTCACTTCCAGCCATTGTAACAGTGTCATGTCACTTCCAGCGATAATAACAGTGTCATGTCACTTCCAGCCATTGTAACAGTATCATGTCAATTCCAGCCATTGTAACAGTGTCATGTCACTTCCAGCCATTGTAACAGTGTCATGTCACTTCCAGCCATTGTAACAGTGTCATGTCACTTCCAGCCATTGTAACAGTTTCATGTCACCTCCAGCCAGAGTAACAGTGTCAAGTTACTTCCAGCCATTGTAACAGCTTCAAGTTACTTTCAGCCAGGGATGTGAACCCTGGTTGTTCAGGTTCACACCCAGAGCCATGCTGTCTCTATGATATTAATAAACTCCTGTATATCTGCTCACTTCCTTTCTAATACAGTGCAAGCTCTTATGAAAACATTTATCTGGACAATGATAAAAGTGTAATTTTGACCAGTTTGGTCATTTGATGAAGTCTGTGGTCTATGTCGTCAGAAAGATAGTTGGGGTAATGAGGTGTACTCCTCGTCATCAAAGATAATAAGCTGGTATTAAACATTGACGTCATATGTGCTGAATGTTATTGGTGATTTATAGATTAACAAGCAGTAAAGACCCCTAGGGACATACTTAATATATATTCTATGGTATGTCATCAGCAGACTAGCGCTGAAGAGATCAGAAACCATAAGTGATTAATTGTATGCATGAATTATGTTTTATACTAGTAAATGCCACATGGTCTTATTGAAACATGTGTATGTGTTTTGCCAGTAAAGGTTATTTCAAAAAAGCTTTCAATATATGTAATCTCCAAAATAGATTCAACAAGTTATCTTAGAATGATGTCTACTGTAACTCCCATACTTAGTCATAGAATTGAACACACTCCCTCTACAGGACATCACACCACACCAGTCCTGCCACTCTGCTCCTCTCATAACACACTCCCTCTACAGGACACACATGCCACACCAGTCCTGCCACTCTGCTCCTCTCACACCACACTCCCTCTACAGGACATCACACCACACCAGTCCTGCCACTCTGCTCCTCTCACACCACACTCCCTCTACAGGACATCACACCACACCAGTCCTGCCACTCTGCTCCTCTCATAACACACTCCCTCTACAGGACACACATGCCACACCAGTCCTGCCACTCTGCTCCTCTCACACCACACTCCCTCTACAGGACATCACACCACACCAGTCCTGCCACACTGCTCCTCTCACACCACACTCCCTCTACAGGACATCAGACAACACCAGTCCTGCCACACTGCTCCTCTCACACCAAACTCCCTCTACAGGACATCACACCACACCAGTCCTGCCACACTGCTCCTCTCACAACACACTCCCTCTACAGGACATCAGACCACACCAGTCCTGCCACTCTGCTGCTCTCACGACACACTCCCTCTACAGGACATCACACCACACCAGTCCTGCCACTCTGCTCCTCTCACACCACCCTCCCTCCACAGGACATCAGACCACACCAGTCCTGCCGCTCTGCTCCTCTCACACCACACTCCCTCTACAGGGCATCAGACCACACCAGTCCTGCCACTCTGCTCCTCTCATAACACACTCCCTCCACAGGACATCAGACCACACCAGTCCTGCCACTCTGCTCCTCTCACGACACACTCCCTCTACAGGACATCAGACCACACCAGTCCTGCCGCTCTGCTCTCATAACACACTCCCTCTACAGGACACACATGCCACACCAGTCCTGCCTCTCTGCTCCTCTCACACCACACTCCCTCTACAGGACATCACACCACACCAGTCCTGCCACTCTGCTCCTCTCACACCACTCTCCCTCTACAGGACACACATGCCACACCAGTCCTGCCATTCTGCTCCTCTCACGACACACTCCCTCTACAGGACATCAGACCACACCAGTCCTGCCACTCTGCTCCTCTCATAACACACTCCCTCTACAGGACACACATGCCACACCAGTCCTGCCACTCTGCTCCTCTCACACCACACTCCCTCTACAGGACATCACACCACACCAGTCCTGCCACTCTGCTCCTCTCACACCACACTCCCTCTACAGGACATCAGACCACACCAGTCCTGCCATTCTGCTCCTCTCACGACACACTCCCTCTACAGGACATCAGACCACACCAGTCCTGCGCTCTGCCCCTCTCACAACACACTCCCTCTACAGGACATCAGACCACACCAGTCCTGCCGCTCTGCTCCTCTCACGACACACTCCCTCTACAGGACATCAGACCACACCAGTCCTGCCACACTGCTCCTCTCACGACACTCTCCCTCTACAGGACACACATGCCACACCAGTCCTGCCGCTCTGCTGCTCTCACGACGCTCTCCCTCTACAGGACATCAGACCACACCAGTCCTGCCATTCTGCTCCTCTCACGACACACTCCCTCTACAGGACATCAGACCACACCAGTCCTGCCACTCTGATCCTCTCATAACACACTCCCTCTACAGGACACACATGCCACACCAGTCCTGCCGCTCTGCTGCTCTCACGACGCTCTCCCTCTACAGGACATCAGACCACACCAGTCCTGCCACTCTGCTCCTCTCACAACACACTCCCTCTACAGGACACACATGCCACACCAGTCCTGCCACTCTGCTGCTCTCACGACGCTCTCCCTCTACAGGACATCAGACCACACCAGTCCTGCCACACTGCTCCTCTCACGACACTCTCCCTCTACAGGACACACATGCCACACCAGTCCTGCCACTCTGCTCCTCTCATAACACACTCCCTCTACAGGACACACATGCCACACCGGTCCTGCCACTCTGCCCCTCTCACACCACACTCCCTCTACAGGACGTCACACCACACCAGTCCTGCCGCTCTGCTGCTCTCACGACGCTCTCCCTCTACAGGACATTAGACCACACCAGTCCTGCCACTCTGCTCCTCTCATAACACACTCCCTCTACAGGACACACATGCCACACCAGTCCTGCCACTCTGCCCCTCTCACACCACACTCCCTCTACAGGACATCACACCACACCAGTCCTGCCATTCTGCTCCTCTCACACCACAGTCCCTCTACAGGACATCACACCACACCAGTCCTGCCACTCTGCTCCTCACACACCACACTCCCTCTACAGGACATCACACCACACCAGTCCTGCCGCTCTGCTGCTCTCACACCACACTCCCTCTACAGGACATCACGCCACACCAGTCCTGCCACTCTGCCCCTCTCACACCACACTCCCTCTACAGGACATCAGACCACACCAGTCCTGCCTCTCTGCCCCTCTCACACCACTCTCCCTCTACAGGACATCAGACCACACCAGTCCTGCCACTCTGCCCCTCTCACAACACTCTCCCTCCACAGGACATCAGACCACACCAGTCCTGCCGCTCTGCCCCTCTCACAACACACTCCCTCTACAGGACATCAGACCACACCAGTCCTGCCACTCTGCTCCTCTCACACCACACTCCCTCTACAGGACATCAGACCACACCAGTCCTGCCGCTCTGCCCCTCTCACAACACACTCCCTCTACAGGACATCAGACCACACCAGTCCTGCCACTCTGCCCCTCTCACACCACACTCCCTCTACAGGACATCAGACCACACCAGTCCTGCCGCTCTGCCCCTCTCACAACACACTCCCTCTACAGGACATCAGACCACACCAGTCCTGCCGCTCTGCCCCTCTCACAACACACTCCCTCTACAGGACACACATGCCACACCAGTCCTGCCACTCTGCCCCTCTCACAACACACTCGACCGCCTCCGTGGTCTTGTGGTAGAGCGTCCGCCCGGAGAGCGGAAGGTCCAGGGTTCGATCCCGGGCCGCGTCATACAAAAAGACGTTAAAAGATTGTACTTGTTGTTACCCTGTCTGGCGCTCGGCATTAAGGGGCTAAAACAAGGACTGGTCGGCTCGGAGTCAGTATACTGTGTCTGAGTTGGGTATTCATGTTAAACTGCAGCATGGTATCTCAGTGAGCTAGCACTATAAATCGGCATCAGTCCGGACTAGTACAAGAAGCCACACACACACATACACGTGCATGCACGTCGCTATATAAGTGCAAAAATCTTGGACACGACGTTAAACCCAATTTCACCTCACCTCACAACACACTCCCTCTACAGGACATCAGACCACACCAGTCCTGCCGCTCTGCTGCTCTCACGACACTCTCCCTCTACAGGACATCAGACCACACCAGTCCTGCCATTCTGCTCCTCTCACAACACACTCCCTCTACAGGACATCAGACCACACCAGTCCTGCCATTCTGATCCTCTCATAACACACTCCCTCTACAGGACACACATGCCACACCAGTCCTGCCGCTCTGCTGCTCTCACGACGCTCTCCCTCTACAGGACATCAGACCACACCAGTCCTGCCACTCTGCTCCTCTCATAACACACTCCCTCTACAGGACACACATGCCACACCAGTCCTGCCACTCTGCTGCTCTCACGATGCTCTCCCTCTACAGGACATCAGACCACACCAGTCCTGCCACTCTGCTCCTCTCATAACACACTCCCTCTACAGGACACACATGCCACACCAGTCCTGCCACTCTGCTGCTCTCACGATGCTCTCCCTCTACAGGACATCAGACCATACCAGTCCTGCCACACTGCTCCTCTCACGACACTCTCCCTCTACAGGACATCACACCACACCAGTCCTGCCACTCTGCTCCTCTCATAACACACTCCCTCTACAGGACACACATGCCACACCAGTCCTGCCACTCTGCTCCTCTCACGACACACTCCCTCTACAGGACATCACACCACACCAGTCCTGCCACTCTGCTGCTCTCACGACGCTCTCCCTCTACAGGACATTAGACCACACCAGTCCTGCCACTCTGCTCCTCTCATAACACACTCCCTCTACAGGACACACATGCCACACCAGTCCTGCCACTCTGCCCCTCTCACACCACACTCCCTCTACAGGACATCACACCACACCAGTCCTGCCATTCTGCTCCTCTCACACCACAGTCCCTCTACAGGACATCACACCACACCAGTCCTGCCACTCTGCCCCTCTCACAACACACTCCCTCTACAGGACATCAGACCACACCAGTCCTGCCACTCTGCTCCTCTCACACCACACTCCCTCTACAGGACATCAGACCACACCAGTCCTGCCGCTCTGCCCCTCTCACAACACACTCCCTCTACAGGACATCAGACCACACCAGTCCTGCCACTCTGCCCCTCTCACACCACACTCCCTCTACAGGACATCAGACCACACCAGTCCTGCCGCTCTGCCCCTCTCACAACACACTCCCTCTACAGGACATCAGACCACACCAGTCCTGCCGCTCTGCCCCTCTCACAACACACTCCCTCTACAGGACATCAGACCACACCAGTCCTGCCACTCTGCCCCTCTCACAACACACTCGACCGCCTCCGTGATCTTGTGGTAGAGCGTCCGCCCGGAGAGCGGAAGGTCCAGGGTTCGATCCCGGGCCGCGTCATACAAAAAGACGTTAAAAGATTGTACTTGTTGTTACCCTGTCTGGCGCTCGGCATTAAGGGGCTAAAACAAGGACTGGTCGGCTCGGAGTCAGTATACTGTGTCTGAGTTGGGTATTCATGTTAAACTGCAGCATGGTATCTCAGTGAGCTAGCACTATAAATCGGCATCAGTCCGGACTAGTACAAGCAGCCACACACACACATACACGTGCATGCACGTCGCTATATAAGTGCAAAAATCTTGGACGCGACGTTAAACCCAATTTCACCTCACCTCACAACACACTCCCTCTACAGGACATCAGACCACACCAGTCCTGCCGCTCTGCTGCTCTCACGACACTCTCCCTCTACAGGACATCAGACCACACCAGTCCTGCCACTCTGCCCCTCTCACACCACACTCCCTCTACAGGACATCAGACCACACCAGTCCTGCCGCTCTGCCCCTCTCACAACACACTCCCTCTACAGGACACACATGCCACACCAGTCCTGCCACTCTGCCCCTCTCACAACACACTCCCTCTACAGGACATCAGACCACACCAGTCCTGCCACTCTGCCCCTCTCACACCACACTCCCTCTACAGGACATCAGACCACACCAGTCCTGCCGCTCTGCCCCTCTCACAACACACTCCCTCTACAGGACACACATGCCACACCAGTCTTGCCACTCTGCCCCTCTCACACCACGCTCCCTCTACAGGACATCAGACCACACCATTCCTGCCACTCTGCTCCTCTCACGACACACTCCCTCTACAGGACATCAGACCACACCAGTCCTGCCACTCTGCCCCTCTCACAACACACTCCCTCTACAGGACATCAGACCACACCAGTCCTGCTGCTCTGCTCCTCTCACAACACACTCCCTCTACAGGACATCAGACCACACCAGTCCTGCCACTCTGCCCCTCTCACACCACACTCCCTCTACAGGACATCAGACCACACCAGTCCTGCCACTCTGCTCCTCTCACAACACACTCCCTCTACAGGACATCAGACCACACCAGTCCTGCCGCTCTGCTCCTCTCGCAACACACTCCCTCTACAGGACATCAGACCACACCAGTCCTGCCGCTCTGCTCCTCTCACAACACACTCCCTCTACAGGACATCAGACCACACCAGTCCTGCCACTCTGCTCCTCTCACAACACACTCCCTCTACAGGACATCAGACCACACCAGTCCTGCCGCTCTGCTCCTCTCACAACACACTCCCTCTACAGGACATCAGACCACACCAGTCCTGCTGCTCTGCTCCTCTCACAACACACTCCCTCTACAGGACATCAGACCACACCAGTCCTGCTGCTCTGCTCCTCTCACAACACACTCCCTCTACAGGACATCAGACCACACCAGTCCTGCCACTCTGCTCCTCTCACAACACACTCCCTCTACAGGACATCAGACCACACCAGTCCTGCCGCTCTGCTCCTCTCACAACACACTCCCTCTACAGGACATCAGACCACACCAGTCCTGCCGCTCTGCCCCTCTCACACCACACTCCCTCTACAGGACATCAGACCACACCAGTCCTGCCGCTCTGCTCCTCTCACAACACACTCCCTCTACAGGACATCAGACCACACCAGTCCTGCCACTCTGCTCCTCTCACAACACACTCCCTCTACAGGACATCAGACCACACCAGTCCTGCCGCTCTGCTCCTCTCACACCACACTCCCTCTACAGGACATCAGACCACACCAGTCCTGCCACTCTGCTCCTCTCACAACACACTCCCTCTACAGGACATCAGACCACACCAGTCCTGCCACTCTGCTCCTCTCACAACACACTCCCTCTACAGGACATCAGACCACACCAGTCCTGCCACTCTGCTCCTCTCACAACACACTCCCTCTACAGGACATCAGACCACACCAGTCCTGCCACTCTGCTCCTCTCACAACACACTCCCTCTACAGGACATCAGACCACACCAGTCCTGCCGCTCTGCTCCTCTCACAACACACTCCCTCTACAGGACACATATTTTCCCAATCCCAGACAATGACTAGACTGGATATTCTCCAAACCCCAGACAATGACATGACTTGATATTTTCGAAATCTCAGCAATGATTACACTAGATATTTTCCTAATCCAAGATAATGACATGACTTCATATTTTCCCAATTTCAGGCAATGACTAGACTATATTTTCCTAATTCAAGATAATGACTAGACTGGATATTCTCCAAATCCCAGACAATGACTAGCCTTGGTATTTTCCCAACCCCAGACAATGACTACACTCGATATTTTCCTAATCCCAGATGATGACATGACTTCATATTTTCCCAATCCCAGGCAATGACTACACTGGATCCCTCTACAGGACATCAGACCACACCAGTCCTGCCACTCTGCTCCTCTCATGACACACTCCCTCTATATTGGCTACTGTCACTGTCCGACTGACACGTCACTTACCCTGTGACGTAATAAATATTAATGTGCGCATTCCAGGAAAACTCGCAATTAGGTAATGTTTGTGAGAGAGGGAAAGCGATTTTCAAGCACAGAATTAAAGAATGACATTATATGATAAAGAGGTTATCACGCTTGTGTGTTTTGAGAAGGTAAATATGCTGTATTAGGAATAAACACTATGTATCTAGCTTGCCAAGGCTCGATATATACAATGTTTATTCCTAATACAGGATATTTACCATCCCCAAACACATTCGCATGATAACCTCTATTTCCCAGACAATGACAACACTAGATATTTTCCCAATCCCAGACAATGACCACACTGGATATTTTCCCAATCCCAGGCAATGACAAGATTTGGTATTTTCCCAATCCCATATTATGACTTCAAAAACACTGGATATTTTGCCAATTCCAGACAATGACTAAACTGGATATTTTCCCAATCCCAGGCAATGACAAGATTTGGTATTTTCCCAATCCTAGGCAATGACTAAACTGGATATTTTCCCAATCCCAGGCAATTACAAGATTTGGTATTTTCCCAATCCTAGGCAATGACTAAACTGGATATTTTCCCAATCCCAGACAATGATTAGACTGGATATTTTCCTAACCGCAGACACAGACATGACTTCCTATTTTCGAAATCCCAGGCAATGACTACACTGGATAATTTCCCAACACCAGGAAATGACTTTCCTAGATATTTTCCCGACCCCAGATAATGACATGACATCATATTTTCCCAATCACAGACAATGACTATACTGGATATTTTTAGGTCCTGGACAATCTCACACATACCCCTGGTTATAGCAAGTATGATTAACTGATGTCCGCTCAACCCACCTGAAAGTATAAATTTCTCCAGAGAACCAGGTACATGAAGACACACAGTTAATATCAGTATCAACTGATTCACCTTATCGCGTATGTGAATACTGTAGAGATTATCCCAGGTTTACATTCCATGTTCATGTCCTCTTGTGGCACAGGTGGTCCGCCCATATGGCCGCCCCGGTGACACAAATGTGACAGTAGTCTTGTGTTATGTAGCAGTATATACTGTGTGTATTTTTAGTGTCTGTTGGTGGCAGCTAATTGAAGCGCTCGTAAAATGGTAATGTGACTGGATTATTTCGGTCGTATGCGTCAACCAGAAATTAAAGTTATTTCCCTACTTCACTTCTGGGACAAACTCCCCCACTCAAGATGATTCACTAGGTAACAGCTTCTAGGAGGCAGGCTGAACCTATATTAGCGAGATAAGGGTGATTTGAGGCCTCCCTTCACGACCTGACTTGCGACGTATCCACTTGCCCAATGAGGACGGAATACCACCGACTGTCCTGCCAGCTTCAAACAATGATTCCTGGATTCAAGAACGGAACACGTGCCTCACTCAACACATTCAACCGTTACAAATTTTGGACAATCGTAAGTGCACTGATTTATGTAATATGGCGTGTTATTTATTGTTCTGGCCACATATTTGACCCATTGTATTGCCTTCTATTATTGCAAACCTAATCTTGTATATTTCAATATAATGTTAATTATTTATTCACATTGTGTGGTTTACCGATTTCCCAATAGTTCTGCAGGTACCAATTACAGGGTAAACCTTCGTGTTTCAACTTGCGAATGAACTGGTAACACTAGATGTCCACTACAGCTTGTTTGTAACAGCTTATTAATTGAAGCATCACTCATTCACTCATCTTTACTCAGAGTAAAAATAATCCATTAATAAGACAGTCTTTTTGTATATGGTAGTAAGTAGAAAAAAGTGATATAAATTTGGCAACACCTTCTTATAAACCCACTGCCACTTTTGCCGATAGCATTGTAGGTACCTTGCTATCTCATACCTTGTGATAGGTGTTACTGTCAAGTGAGACCTGCCCATTTGAATTGGA